GGCAAGTATCCCCCAGAGAGGTACTTAGGACCCTTTGGGTGTTGTGCTGCTCTTGGCTGTCTGTTTCGGCTGCTTCCTCTCCCAGCATAGTGGTGAAGGCCTATGGGTCTTGGCTTGATAAGTCAGACTCCGCCGTTTGAGGCTTCTTGGGTACTACCAGGGCTATTATATTATAGTATGATGGGCCCCAAACCCCATTCTAAGAAAAGAGGCCCCCAAATTAGAGGGTTTTGTTTTTTTTGGGGTCTAGGGGTTCAGGCTTTAGGGTTACAGTAGCAGGTGAAAAGCAACCGAAAGCTGGACCGCTGCTGTGCTGTCTCCCCGCAACCAGAACCTTGAACTCCTCGGGCTCTCAAAACTCTGTGGTTTGGGGGGACTCATCGTATAAGTCTCAAGGAATTTCTGAGCTTTTGGCCCATAGACTATACCGGGCAAGTTTCTTCTTGGGCTACGTAGAGACCATACTGTATGATGTGTGGCTCTTGGGCTACTTAAACTGCAGAGTGCAGAAGCTTCGACCCACCTGCACTCTGCCAGATAACCTATAATTATCATGGCCCGACTCACTACTACAGAACATGAGGCTTCTACTGACAGAGGGGTTTTGACTGTAGAGTTTAGGGTACCTTCTGTCCTAGTAGGATCATGGCACCATAAACCTACAACCTTAGGATACCTGAACCCCGGAACGAGACCAAACGAAGCATTTCGAAGATCTGCGCTGGCAATGAGCACGCCATGCCAGTTCTGAATCAACATTGGTCTGAGTTTTGTGCTTTCGGGTCCAGAGTGCTGTACATGTAATCCGACACGAATACGGTGCTATAGGTTATGGGGTAGGGTGTAATTCCGGGCTTGAATAAGATGTGTGCGGGTGTGAGAGAGAGAGAGAGAGAGACAGAGAGAATGAGTCTTGCAGGTGATGAGAGTTCCTGTCATGACGATCATTTTATGCACAAACTAGCACACGAGGGCCCGGATAATGGCACGCGCCGGTGCAGAGTCAATAGCAAGCAGCGCGATATGAGGGACTGTTTAGGCTGCAGGTCTTACAATCAAACTTGGAACATGTTGATGCAGCGACAAGTGTTGCGATGCTGTCAGTTTGACGGCAAGTTGTTTGAGGGACTGCCATTCCCTACCCATTTGCCCAGTCAGTAGCAGATTTCCGAGGCTTCTGATCTCAGTTCGTTCTCTTATCCACTTCCACGTCGGTATCGATCTGCGGACCTCGTACCTATCATTATATATATATATATACATATATATATGCATATATAAATATATATATATATATATATGCATATATAAATATATATATATATATATCGTTATATATATATATATATATCATTATAAATAAATATGTATATATATATATATATATATATATATCAGAATGTTCAAAGCCTTTCGAGGCAATTTCATTGAATATGTTTTTTTGCCTGCATCAACGACAAGCCCTGCTCCCGTGATCACCATAACCACCAGACCAACTGTGACAGCGACTGCTGCTGCTACGGAGTACTGCTTCTACTGGCGCTCTGCCCCCTGCTGCACCACAGCGAAGACTGCATGCCGTACTTGCTGCCATCGCCAAGGCGCAGTACATAGTACCAAGCCTGCATCACACGACAGCGTAGAGAAGAAGCCTGGAATGATGCTATCTGGGTGCCTCCCAGCACCTCGTCATTTGCGAGGAAGTCGCGGAGGCTTTCACTTCTCGGTAATGCCTGATACACTTGACCTTTGCACGCAGGTCTATACGGTTTCGGATATACTCGTCATGGTCTCAACACTTTCAAAGAATTTCAGTCGAACCATGTAATATGTAGTATGTGTCCATGAGCCAGAGTCAAGTAAGCCTGGGTGGATGCTCATGGACCTTGCCTTTGCTGGAGTCCTGAGGTGCATAGTGGCTTATCATTCGAAGGCTGCTTGTTAGTAGCTATGGCTGTCTAGCGACCAGCACTGGGTCTAGCGGTCGGCACCATCACATCATCATAGTCTTAGCCATCAGCTGCTGATGCTGGGATGGTTACTGAGACGGGTGAGCAAAGGTGCTGTTCCAAAAGAAGGTAGGACACTTATATTATATCCGTTATGAACTCTATCTAAACCCCAAATCTCAAACCTAGAGCATGTCATTTCCAGGAATCAGGCAGTCTACCCCTGCTCTTGTGCCGTGGGTCGCCGGGCGTGGTTTGGAAATATCCATTTCACTCTAAACCACAATGCTGAATCCAATATTTATCCTGAAACCATCAACACCCTAAGCCGATTTTCACGCCAGCCTGGCGATGCCATGTGCTGCCTCTGCTTCGGTCAGCGCTGATGGGCGATCCCAGATGCCCACGAGCTCAAAGCCATTCCCGACGAAGCTTATAGCCGCAGGAAGGATAATAGCGTACTTGAGCACAGATAGTGGCGGATGGCGGCTTTTCTATGGCTTGCGGCACACGAAAAATGTCAAGGCTTAGGGTTTATGAGACTCGGCTTTAGGTTTGCTGTGTTCGCAACAACTAGCTACGGAGTTCATACCGATTAAGGCTAAGGTCCAGGATGCCTGGCTCGGTGGTTGCATGTGCGATACTTGGAAAGTCATGGGACTTAGTGAAGGTTTTTCATAGCTGTAGTTACCTTACGTAAATCCCCACTTACAACGTCCCATGATCCTTTAAGCAGAGTCCATCCGCCCGTTGAATAACTTCGGAAGTCCCGAGAGTGTGATCGCCTTTCAGTGCAATGCCTGGCAGAGCTACGCAGATGCTGTGCTCAGCCCGCTGTCCAGGACAACTGGCTTTGGCCACCTGCTGATGCTGGATTGTAGCTTCACTCGAGCGACATAGGAAGGCATGAGCCCCTGTGGCCGTATCCGGCGTAGACACACTGAAAACAGGGTGTGCTGTCAGTACTCTGAAGCCTAAACTACCCTATTTAATCCTGAAGCCTGTAAAGCCTAAACCCTGAACCCTGCCCAATCCGCGCATACCGGGGCAGTAGCTTTGACCGGCTACTCGAGAAGGTTGTCATGATCTACTGGGGAAACTCTGTCAACGGTAGAGGTCACGGCGATTCTTGTGGTTTAGGCGTTTAGGGTTTCGGGATGTGAAACAGCATAGTTTGTGATTGCTCGATGTCGGTACAGTAGAGTTGATCCACTATGTTGTGATACTGTGATAGCTTATCTATTCTCTGTCTTATTGAATGCCTGACATTCATATTCGTAAAAGTTGTAGGGAGCCGTGGCCACCTCAGTTGTCATGTGTTACCCTGCGGGGCCGTTCGAAATCAGGCGCAGGCTATGCACAAGCACTGCTGGTGACTGGGCGTTACCCGTTGTCACATCATGTTGTTGCCGGTTACAATGCGTCAGACAGCTTGTTTCCAACAGGTGCGCCAAGCACAAAACAACTGCCGTGCAAGTTTTCACTATCACCATGATTCATATGCGGTGTGCGAGGACCGCCAGTCCTAGTGTGTATCAAGTTGTGAATTCGCTGTAGCATATAGCACAATGCAGTAGCTTCATGCCTCTTGAGTTGCAAACTACAACTCGCTCAGCAGCTTAACATGCTCATGTCAAGGCTTTGCTGTGGGAAAACAAGCTCGCATTCCCCAAGGCATGCATCACCTGCAAGCAAACATGGTAGCCCAACCTCAGCTGAAGTGAATGCAGTTGTCAGGACCGTTGTTGTAGCCGCTGTGGCAATCATCCACGACCCACAGCACGCATGTCAAGCTAGGAGCAACTAGGATTCCAAAGGTGGGCCTCAAATGCCTTTGAAATCGTATGCGCCTTGCAGAGCTGCAAGTGGGTTCCTAGGCCCTATAGGCATTTCTACCTCCCTGGGCCATGCAAGTTGCTGATGCCGTCCCTCGATCCGAGGCTGGGCTTTGCGGAAAAGGGGGGGGGGGGTAGGGTTTAGGGGTTTAGGGTTTAGGGATCAATTGCGTGGTCCCCTGCTTAGCGGGCCTTTGTAGGCAGGATCCCACCATCATGGCTTGTCGGCTGGAGGTCCCCCTCGTCTGAAGCTCTTAGATATCCGTTTAGGGTTTGGGAGTTTAGGGTCTGGCTGTTTGGGGTGTAGGGCATCAGAAACAGCAGTCCCGAAAGAGTCCGGTTTATTCACCCTTTCACCCCAGGTCAATCATGCAGGACCCTTTCTTCTGCCGTCAACCGTTTATCGTTAATCCTTGAACCCTAAACCCCTCCCTGCTTTGGGGATTCTGAGAAACTTTTCCTGCACGGATCCTCGTAAAATCTGAGTAAATTTAAATGGGGGCTTCACGAAAGAGGGGACACAACTGTCGACCACTGTCCTCAGAATCGCAATTTGAGGAACCCCTGATGTGAACAACCCTCCCATCACTCCCAATTTTTTAGGACAAACGTGTCGTATCACACAACATTATAGTGCCTGCTTGTATTGTATTGCACATTCTGTCACAGGTTATCGTTCTGAGTGGAAATACCTAGATGGCAGATCTTAGTTGATTACCGTTGGAGATTCATTTTCATAGATGTCCCCAGGGCTCCGGCTGAATGTTGCTATCTACGTAGCATGTCCCACGTATCTAAATCATACCCGAACTAACTCCTGAAGCGAAAGACCGCAAGACCTGACCCGTCTGAACCTTCCACATACAAAGGCTCAGTGCTCCCTACCAGCACCCCCCCCAATGACCCACTGTTCGGGGCCGTAAGGGCTCTATTAAAGGGCCATTGGGGGGGTCCTGGTAGAGGTGCAGCCTGAGTCCAGGGTGTGGATTCCTTAGATCTTTTAACTAAACCCTGAGCCCTTGAGCCCCCAACTCAACCCTAAACTTCAACCCCAGTTAAGCCTTCATCCCCAAACCCTAAACCCCTAAACCCTAAACCCCATAAAGCCTCTGAACCCTAAACCCCATAGATCCCTTTAAGGAACCCTTTAAGAACCCTTACCAAGTCCCCTGCCCTTCCAAGTAAGGCCCAGCCAAGCTTCGAAGGTTCCGGAGCCATGGCCGCTCGAGAGCGACGCGAGAAACTCCGCGCCGCGCAGCGCGAGAAGGCCGCGGCGCAGCCACTTGGCTAAGACTCCTTGGTGCTTAGTAGGGAATAGGGTTCCATTGAGGGTTGCTATAAGGGTTCCTATAAGGGCTATACCATAGGGGTTAAGGGTTCTTAGTAGGCTGTCCGGTGCTTAGCAGGGAATGAGATGTTTAGGCTTTAGAGAAGTGGGAGCTTGAGAGTTGTAGGTTTCGGGTTTAGGGAATTTAGGGCTTGGGGGTTTAGGGTTTAGTAAGGGCTTTAGATCAGATTTAGGGTTGAGGAGTTTAGGGGAGTTTTTGAATAGGGCTCGAGTTACTTACATGGATTACTACCTGTTTAACGTGTATCCCAGTAGCACACTCTTTAGTAAACTGGAGCCCTTGGGTCAGATAGGGTTTCTGAGATGACAAGGAGCCCAAAAGGGGGGGTTCTCTTGTAGGGGGCTTATGGTTTTGGTAAAGCTGCCTTGAGAATTAGACTAGGGTTTGTAGGGCGGCATGTTATAGTACTGTATAGTGCAGTGTACTAGAGCACAGCGTCAGAGCTAAGTCAGCATCAGAGCTAAGTAAAACAGAGGATAGCATGCAGTATGGTTTAGTACAGTTGAATATGATTAGCATTTGTGCGACTGTTCGTACTAGTACAAGGACTGGTGCTGACTAGTGCTAGTGCTAGTACAAGTGCTAGTACTAGTTTCGGTATAGTTAGTGTATTATACTCAGTCGTGGAAGCCTAAAGGAATGGTATGTATTTCTGGCAGGCCTACGTCTAGGGCAGAAAATGCCATCCTCGTATATTGGGTATATACTGACTGAGGATGCTTGAACACATATGTTTCTATATGAGATCAGGATGAACAAAATACAAGGCCCGAGTAATTGGTCGCCGTATCTTGTACGATTCTCTAAATTCACAAGTCGTAGTATGCCGCCCCCTTCACCATGTCCTTCTATGTATCATGTGGTGTACATGTCTGTATGTAATGTATGTATGTAAAACTGTTTATATATATATATGCGTATTTAACTACACACATACATATATATACATGTATATATATATATATGTATGTATGCATATATATACATATATATATGTCTTCTACGTATGATGCCGGCAAGAACGCTTGAAACGCTCGTGTTGTTGTCTAGCGTCTCTGCGGCAGTGCGCGAACAAGATGGACACCAACAAGCCCGACTCCAGACCACCTTGAAAGCGGTTCGGGGATTGCTGTTTTGGGTCACTCCATAAGCTAAGCTGCAGAGAGTGATAGGTGACTGGGCTGCGGCAGTGCTGCATGAACCGTGAGTTTCCATCCCTCACATCCCAATCTGGACTCACGCTTTGAAGTACATGCACAGCTGAGTAGTCCAAAACTTTTGCACCTGTACTAACACCACAGTCCATGACAACATGCAGGACTGTGCCAGTCTCCCTCTCCGTCTCCCTCTCTCTCCTCTCTCTCCTCTCTCTCCTCTCTCTCTCTCTCTGTCTGTCTCTGTCTCTCTCTCTCTCTCTCTCTCTCTCTCTCTCTCTCTCTCTCTCTGTCTTCTTATACATATGTATATATGCATACTTACACATACATATGTACATGGGAAATGATACCCCAATTCCTCTTTCGGTCTGAACGCTTTGCTGACTTGCTTGTCTTCCAATTCGTAAGACTTGTCGTAGCCGATTGGTTGGAGAGTGCAACAAGGCGAAGTTCAGGTGATGACGAGTCCATCTGCATGTAAGCAGCAACATCCCATGCTTCGATATGAGTAGATGCCTTTTCCTACTTACTTGTACGCGCATGCACCTGAGAACATACACACACACACACACACATACACCTTTGCAGAGAACGTTGCGTAAGCATGGGTAGATGCCTAGACGGCCCAGCCACTGCAAGCTTCCATGAGGCTTGAGAAGGCTCCACTCCGACGCTTGGAGGAGACGACGGCGGGGGCCCAGGACGTTTCCACCATCACGAGCCGGTGCTTCCTGTCTTTAAGCCACGGTGCACGGCCACATGTCTACAGTTAACTGTGTTTCTTGCGCTTTCGCCAAATTCAGTAAGCTGAAAAGGAATCAAAAAAGCCCAAAAACCTTATATATAGAATGGTCTTTGGGCCCAAAAGCCTTAATATATGAGTCCTTAGATCCCTATATAGGGTTTGTGCGAACAGATGCCCAGCCCCGCAGGAATCACGTGAGCTGCAGTCGTCCCAGAGGGTTGTTGAGGTGGGTTGCAGAAGCAGGGAGGGCGTTGCGTCAAGGGCATCGGATATACGACAGTAAGATTTGGCCGGTTCTTCCCAGCTAGAAATTATTGCACCCCGGCCAGCTGGAACGAGACCAATCACGGCCTGATGTTAATGTGGCAGATTGACAAGGGCGTTTCGTTGATGACATCGCAGTACTGCCCACAACAAGAAAAGCGTTCTCGGCAGTATCAGCATCATCCGCTTCTGCAGGACTTCAGCATGTGATCACCGCCATATCCACTCACCTACGGATTCTTATCGGAACGTCGTCTGCCACACATCGGTGTGATTGGTTGGTTTGATCTTGCAGCTGGAAACGCACGATACGATGCATTGTGCCCTGAGCTGTCAGCATAGAACAGTGCTTATCTCCGTGGCCAGTGACACATCTTTCCACCTGCCATGTACCTCCCTACTTATCCGTCCATGCATGTGAATATCCCGTTTCTGCGCATGCACCGCTGCACACACACACATATGTATATATATATATATGTATATATATATGTATGTATATATATGTATGTATATATATATATATGTATTCATGTATATGTCTGTATATGTATGTGTGTGCATGTGTGTGTATATGGTTGTACATATTGTATATGGGTATATGTATACATATATGTATGTATATATATATATATGTATGCACATACATATCTGCATCGTAGACAAGTTTGAGGTTGCATCCAACAGGGCCCTAACGGTCAGTTCGATGAGTGACCAGATCCCAGTCTGGTTCAAGCCGACCACAGGCAAGGTCCCGACCTGCGCACATATGGGCATACATACATACACACACCTGCAGGTGTTATGTGTGTCTGTGTATGTACATAAAATGCCACATATATGCACATAGTCTACGTATCTGCATACATACCGTGTATGCACATATTGTGTATATGCACAATGCTTACATATGCATATACAAGTATATGTACACATGCGACATATCTGCATAACTAGAACACAGATATGCAGCATATGCACATATAGATGTATACACAGACCCAAATACACACACACACACACATTTACATGTGTATATATACACACGTACTTTTGTGCTATCCGTATTGCTTAAAACGTATGTAATCGTCTAAGTACCTATACACGCTGTAAGCAGCAGGCTGTGTAACAGATGTATTTGCCTATACAAGCTCATCGGACTGTTATCGCTGATGAGGAGGCATCACAAATTCCAAGGAAGTTTTGATTTCCCGTATGAGGGCAAACACATCTTACCGTCTGTAGTTGCAGGAGTGTGCATTCGGCATTTCCTTTCGCGGTTGCTGCAGTGTATTCAGCACAGTCTACCTTGCACAGCAATATGTAGCTTCAACTTTACGCGAAAAATGCTTTTTAAGTTTGCCAGATGTATGCACCATGCATTCTGGAATACATGTTTCTAATTAGTCGATCTTTGTGAGCTTGCTGTAACGCCCCTCTATGGCTAGATGCCGAAGCAAGGGTATCGAAACCCATTTCTGTGGTCTCTATGTGTCGATGCTTTTTCAGGCTGTCAATACTGAGGCAGTGTCCGGGGCCATGTGTTACTACATAGTTGTAGATGTTCTTTCCATTCTTCGCTAAATCAGCCAACCCTGGCTCGCTTCCGTCTCTCTCGATGCATCCATCCATCCAGTCTTCCGGCCCTTACAACCGTGCATCGTTCCATCGATCGGTCTACCTACCCATCTTCCTGTCTATCTATTTACCTACATGGCAGGAAACAGCAGCCGAGCCGGTGGCAAGAGGCCCCGAGCCGGCTGGCAGCCGCGAGAGCGCTGCAGAAGAACTGCCTGTGCCTTCGAAGCTGTTGCAGGGATCTTCATGGCTTCTGTCGTCTTGAAATGTCGGTGAGCTTGCTGCATGCTGCAGTGCCCGATACGGACGGTTTAGGGCGGCATGCCCGCACATCTTTGTCAAGCACAGCTTCAGTCATGAAATCCAAGGCGCTCGAGGAGTCCGTGCAGCAGACCGGAGATCGACCAGAACAGGAAGCAAAGACTGAGGCCGGGTAGATGCCGTACGCAATCATACACATGGATACCCGCATATGCAGATATTAAAAGACTTACATATATGTATAAACACTGGTATGTAGATGTATATCTCTGTACACACACATATACATGTGCTTAAGTTTATGCACATGCACACAAACACACACATATATATATGTATTTGTATATATAAATATCTCCGTCTAGGTATATGTATGAATGAGAAAATAAATATGTAAATATGTGTGCATACATGTGTTCCTATGCATGTATGTGGATATGTTTGCGATGTATGTGATGGGTTATCTATGTCTAAGTACCTAGTTGCGTATTACATGCTGGTTAGGTTTGGGCAAATATCAAGCAACCTGGAAAACATATACATAATCATATTTTGGTTAGGTATTGTGTGTTGTGTGCTTGTTGCCGCTGTGTTTCCGTATCGCTGCAGCATAGTACAGACTGTGTGACGATGCTATTCCTAGAGTAGCAGCACAAGTACCGACACGCGTATGTGCCGACATCCATTGAAAGACCGGAGATCACACTGTTGCCTTCACATTGGCATGCATGTCAGCACAATACGATTCAGGAACTTGCTTGAGAGCCTGTGCTGTCAGGTGCAGAAGGTATCCTCGACTCCCAGCACCAAAGAACCGAAGGAGGCAAAGACTTCTCCGGCGGAAGCGCCAGGGCGGTTGGACGAGGCCCTGACAATCAGAGCCAGGTCACTACTAGAGGGGCCTTAACCAATACCAATACTATTTTTGGGGTTCCGTATAGAAATTATAGTAGAATGGGCCCAAAACCCTAGTCTAATTATTAAGGCCCCTACATTAAACCCTCAGTCGCTGCAAACCCAAAAGCCCCTAAGCCCCGAACCCATAAACTCCGAAAGCGCTTGGTAGAGCTTCGATACCTGAGGAGGACCCAGCCTCCTCGACTCTTCCGAGCCTTGAGTTCCCACCACTGGGTGGCCTAGCAAAACAGGGAACTAACACGTGTGATATCATGTGCATATGTATTGAACTCGAAAAGGACAATAGCAAGCGTACCAAGAAGCATAAGGATGAGGATGGATGAGACCACTTGATGTGAATGAAGACGCTAAAAATAGTCACAAATATCAGCAACAATGACTCTACTAATGAGAAACGCAGCCAAGTACAAGAAGAAGCATGACAGCGAAGCTTAGTTCTTCAACATCCTTTAACTTCTCCAACCCTGGTTCCAGACCTCGGTTTGCCTTGGCCCAGCGCTCCAGGAGTCACGAGTTGAATCAGCCGACGTCGAACCCAGCGTGCCAGCTAAGCCTGTTGTGGAAGAGGCCCGGGTAAGTGTTCAGGGTTGGTTGCTTGTGCAAAGGAAGCGTGACAATGTGGACTGCCAAACTCAGAAGAATCCTTCTGATGCACCCATGTTTGCTAGGTTTCGTTTTCAAGCACCGTGTCAACCAGGCAAGAGACTGGCTCAGCTGTTCGTTGCTGCCAGGCAGCGATAGCCGATGATGCGTCTCTCAACCTCCAAGAGGAGGCTTGCATGGACCGTCTTATGAAAGCCTAAGACCCATGGAAGCTGTTATGCCTGGCGGAATGTGCCAGAAACAAGCTTCAAACTGCGTGTGTTTGCAGGATGCTACACAGCGCCGTGCGCGGCTGCGCTCCTCGCGCCGATCTACGGTTTCGGTTCAGGAGCATCCTTCGGTATGGTTTTTCGGTGTTCCATCTATGGAAATGCTGGAAGTCGCGTTTTCGTCGCGAATCTGGGTAGAATAAAGTTCGTCGGAGAAGGGTGATTTGCTTGATCTCCGATTCTGATCTTCTTGGGGCGTGTTTTGACATCGTTTTCAATTATTGTTGCTCCCGCTCTTAGCCGCACTATAGCATTTCCACCATCAGCAGCATTGGGAGTACTCGTCTTCGGGTGGTGATCGGAACAGGAAGTCCTGCTACTAACTACTACTGCTACTGGTACCACTACTAAAAATAATTCATAGTAAGACTATTCCTGCTGCTACCACTACCACTACCACCACTACGACGATGACTACTACCACCACCACCACCACCACCACCACCACCACCACCACCACCACCACCACCACCACCACCACCAGCACCACCACCACCTGACTACTACTACTACTACTACTACTACTACTACTACTACTACTACTACTACTACTACTACTACTACGACTACTACGACTACTACGACTACTACTACGACTACGACTACGACTACGACTACGACTACGACTACGACTACGACGACGACGACGGCGACGACGACGACTACGACTACGACTACGACTACGACGACGACTGCAACTACTCCTACTACTGTTGCTGCTGCTGCTGCTTTCACTACTACTACCACCACTTTTCTCCTCCTGTGACCATTGCGGCGACGACGACGACGACGACGACGACGACTACTACTACTACTACTACTACTACTACTACTACTACTACTACTACTGCTACTCGTTTTCCTGTTGATGCCACTACTGCTAGTACTACCACCGCTACCCTGCTGTTGATGATGCTGACGACGACTACTACAACTAGCAAGTACTGTAGTGTTTTCCTGCCTGCATTCACAGGCGCTTCCACGGCGTGGGAGTCCCGGGCTTAACGTAGGGTTTAGGGTTGAGAGTTCGTTCTGCAAGTGGAAAAGAGGCGGTGGTATATTCGGTGGCAAATCAAGGGGCTGGGGTGAGAAGCTGCCAGTGCTCTAAACTGTTTCTGGGCTTTCTTACAGAAAAGGAGCACAAGTCCGGCACTAATGATGGCTTTGACGAGAAGTTGTTTGTGGTTGTTGTAGGTAGGTTTTGCCTGAGTTGCGTTGAGCTGGGGTTTTGGACGGCTTGTGAGCAGGCTGTTCTGGGTAGCAGCCCGCATTCCTGCCTACGCGACTTTGATCTTGCTTTGGGCGACTGATTAGTGTTAGTGCTTGGCCGGTTGTGCTGAGGTTACGGCTCAGGGGAATCTTTCAAAACGAGTCTCTCATCATTCAGAATGCCTCGGAATGCGATTTCATTGTCTTCTGAGGCGGACTGATACTGTCAATTCTGCTGTGACGGTGTTGGTCAGGCTCGTTCTGGCTAGGCCCCGCTACCGACCAACCCCAAATGCAGATAAGTTGAGGAACTCCCTGCTGAGCCTGAGCATCAGGGCAGTGTTGGCCGGTTTACCAACCAGGAAACTGACGAAAGCCTTTCCGGTTGATAGCCATCACCATTTTCGGAGTTTACGGGCACTACAAAGCATGCTTCAGGTTGTAGCCGTGATGGGGCATGCGAAGGCTTAACACATTTTCCGTGATTGAGGCCGAGCTTCAGAGAATGCGCGGGAAGGCCGGACGTGTTTCTGGCATCATCGTTAATTTGACTACAACCACAACACCTCTTGTTGTCCCAGGACAGTTGGCTTGAAGATGTTAGTGAATGTCACGGCAACAGTCAGGAGCATCATCTTTAGGAAGTTGGTCAGACAGGATATCGTCTCCATCTTCAAAGAACGCAGCGGTTGTGTACCTCTGGGCTTGATGGCCATAAACCCTGGGACATTGAACCAACGCCACGCCTCAAACCCTGAGCCTTAAACCGCGAAAGTCTTGATTATGGGTGTAAGCTTGCTTCGGAATCGGGGTTGCTTGCAGGTATGAGGGCCATTAGCATTTTAGTTGCAGTTCGACATACTAACCGGATTCACACCCGGCGCCGGAAGAACTGGCGTTCCCAGTGTCTGTGTTCCCGCAGTTGCATCTCAGGCCAAAACAGTGACAGCCCCACCCCAGACCAAGCCAGCTACCATGGGTTGCTTGGCCTGCAAGCTGCCTTACGAGCAAGCGGCTTCTCCCAAGTTTGAGGTGATGGTGCCACTGAAAGGACACAGCGGATCTAAGCCGGCGAAAGAAGAACAGGAAAATCTGGTTGGGCACATCAGGCAACATGAGCTGGAGATCTTGTGCTATCCATGACGACCCTTTGAGATGCCTTTTGCAAGAAGGCTGCGTAACAGCACACTGTTCAGACCTGTGCTGCAGGATTGCGCAGCCTGCACGTCACTTGCACGCTTTTATGACAGTCTGTACAGTGGTGGGTAATCACCAGTACAGCAGGGGGGGCATTGGAGGTGGAGCTCGTGCTTTCCCGTGCATGCACAGAGAGGCTGTTCACCTCACTTCTTTATTCCCAGAAATCTCCAGAGGAGCACACTATAGAGCATACGGCGGTCCACTGGAGTTTCCGGCAAGTGCAACAGGCAAATGCTACTGTTCCTGCAGTCCGCCCTTGTGGCACCATGTGAGAGTTTCCCAAGCGAAAGCATCTCATTCCATTCTCAACTTAGCCCTAAACCCTAAACCCTCAAACCCTAAACCCTAAGCCCTAAACCACGCAACAGAGACGCTTCCTCAGTCCGGATCGGGCGGGGCGCCACTACTTTGGGGAAACTCGTCTATTCCCCCAAGGGTCCAAGTGTCCAAGTAATGGTATAGTATATATACTTGGGGGGGCCCAAATACCCAGCAAGTACGTACCATAATGGTACTTGGAGCCTTTGGGACGGTTGCTGCCGTAATAGTCTATGTGCAGCAACCTCTTTAGGTCTTTGGTTGGGCATTGGGCGGCTGAAGTGCCGAGTCTATTTGGGAGTTTCCGAAAAACAAGGGTACCTCATTTATTCTGGGGGTCCTTATACTGACTAAGGATCCTACTACTTAGGGTACTATATTAGGGTCCCCTATGCTCGGAAACTCCCATTTCTCGGAGCTGTGGCGTTGCCTGGACAGCCTTGGCGCACAGGATCATTGCAAAGCCCCTGTTTTGTCGTCGTCATCGTCATCCTCGTCGATACTTAAGGGATCAGGGCACTTTGTAATTGGGGTGATAAGCAAGGTAACTGCAGTTGTAACTACTTATAACCCCAATTTAAAGGTACTAAAAGCCCTGCTTAAAACCCTACTTACCAAGTCTCATGATCCTCCAAGTAAGTGTAGCATGCCAACTTCAGAAGCACAGTCTCAGTAGAAGTTTAAATATCCCGGGAACCATACAGTAGTAGGCTGTATAGACTTTGATATATAGCAGGAAGAGCTCTCGGGTCCATCATAGCCTCTTAGCACTCCCTGCAAACTGGGAGGGTTGCCTAAAGAACCACAACCCTAAGAGTCCATGTACACAGATAGTATATGCTTTGGGCCCAATGTACCTATATAGGGAGTACTGTAAGGCCAAACTATCTACTATTTGGGTACCTGGACCCTGAGGACAAGGGCAGGAGATGTCTGAATCTTGAGACAGGAGACTTGCAGGAGGCCCTGCAGGTTAGGGTTCAAGGGTTCAGGCTTTAGGGTTTAAGGGTTTAGGGTTTATATGGGGTCGTAGGATTTAAAACGTTTAAGGATTATAGGGTCTAGGGTCGGGCCTTAACTCTCTGCTGTAGTAGCCTTCACGGACGGAGAGACGTCCGCAACCCCTTCCAGTGCACAACACTTCGGTCCGCATTAGGTGCAAATTCCTGAGTGGACAGATGAATCTCGCTTTCAGGGATCTATAGGGTTCCTTTAAGGGTTCCTTCAACGGATCTAGAGGGTTTGGGGTTTAGGGGGCGGTTAGGGTATCATGACCTCGGAATGGCAGGAGGATCTTGATGCTTAGCGTTCAACACCCGCTCGTTTGACAGACCTCTCCGACAAGAAGCCCAGCCACCTACACCAGCTTGACGCGGCGCTGTAGTACCAAGCAGCTGATGCTAGATGCTAGGGCCTTTGGGTTTAAGCACAATGGATGAGGAGCCAGATTTTGAGACCTCCACCTGTGCAAAAAACCCAACAGCAGCTGCAAGCGATGGCTTGAAACAGAACTGGCACAAAGATCGCTTGCGTCAGATGCCGATGCGTCCCAGCGCCGACGTGAAGGCCTCCAAGAAGCGCTCGACTCGAGTCACCGAGCGTTGCAGAGGCCCAGTGTCGCTCTGTCGAGTTTGGGTGCAGGGCGTTGGGCTGAATGTAAGCGCATAGATTTAATTGCCTATACTCCATTGGTTGTTCCTTGTGTTATGATTCTAGCATGATGGTCCCCCAAACCCATTGTAATCATTTAGGCCCCTATATCAGGAGTTCCACCAGGCCCCCAACCACGATCTCGAGCACAATCATCAGCAGCAACACACGGAGGACCCTCCACGACAAAACCACTGTCTCCAGCTACCTTGGTTCTTGGTTCGTTTTCCTTAGCAGCAACAGCATCTGGTGGTTTGATTGTCGAGATAACTTTTGATGCAAGCTTCGGCTAAAGCATTTCGTCTCATGAGGATGGCTGTTCCTTGCGATTGACTTATTATATCAAGTTGCAGGTCCAGAGCCCTATCGTGAAGCAACAGCCATATTCACATAGAATCAGTTTTCTGTCCCCCGTGCCTCACCTGTCAAGGTCACCGCTCATGTTCCCCCCCATACCCCCGGTTTCGCTATCCCTCTGCGCCCTGCTGCTTTTGGGTGTTTTGCGGGCGGTAAACACGGAACCCGGGTTAGGCAGGTCTTTCACGGCTTCCTGACAGACTTGTACAAGTTGGAAAAAGCCTCATCCATGTCTATATACGTTAGAATGCCACGATGGGAGCTGCTGATGCCATGAAGCCTGGAGGAACATCTGCCGTCCAACCATTAAAATCCGAGCAATGCACGTGCCCTGAGAGCTATTGTAATTACTGCAGTATAGGCTCTTTGAGACCTTTAAGCTTTAAAATTCGAGCGCTGCATTGTCGGTGGCAGGCTGACGAAGGAACTCTTCTTGGGTGTTCAAGTGGATCACGTGACAGGTCGCGGGCTCATCCGAGATGCAGCCATGACAGTTCTGGTTACACATTCGCGACTGGCACAGCGAACGACGTCTATCAATACTGTTTTATGTCTTGTCGCCAATTTGCTACATAAAAGTGGTTGGTTCATGTTGTTGTTTGGGGAATTTGGGCTTACAGTAAGTCTTGCAGGGAAGAAAAAATGGGTGATTGATGCGAGCCTCCGAGTCTTGCTCCAACTTGTAGTCGGCCCATAAGCCTCGTTGCTCCTCTAGTTGGAGGATCATGAGACTTAGTACGTAGGGCTACAAGTACTAAATTGGGGTTTTTAAGCAATTATAACTGTAGTTATCTTACTTATGACCCCAATTGCTAAGTCCCATGAACCTTTAAGTAGACCCTAAACCCTAAACCCTTATAGTACTCCTACAGATCCCTTAAAGGAACCCCTTAAAGGGACCCCCCGATTGCTAAGTCCCATGATCCTAGAGCCAGAGCCTCGAAGCCGAGGGCGCAGCTTGCGGATCAGCCCTTCCACTGCCCAACTTGAGCCTCTCGGCATATAGGGAACTCCAGAAAGTTGGAATATGGTTTCAGGGTAGGATACCTTATAATTTACCATAAAGGGGTTTAGGATAATCATATTCCAACTTTCTGGCTTTTACTTTCTGCCTACATTCCGAGCTTCACCCCGAGCCCTACCCAGAGACTCCAGTATCCCTTAATTAAGGAATGCAGTATTCCTTAAATTATATCAGGGATCCTACTATAATCTAAGGTATACTCCTTAATTAAGGGATGTATTGGAGTCTCTGGGTACCAGGACCCCCCAAGGACCCTTTTATAGAGCCCTTGTGAACCTTGATGGTGGGTATTTGCGTATATTAGGTGGTGGTTGGGGGGGTCTAGGTACTTGGAAGCTCGTGGACAGTTAGAAGTGGGGTTATAAGTTCCTTAATATGGGCTATAACTACAGTTGCCATACTTATAAGCCCATGAACCTCCAAGTAAGCCTTAAACCCTAAACTCTCTAGGGCCTCCTCATGGGGCCAAGGCCCCAGGGCCTTCCCGCCTGAACCCGAAGTTGTGTGCGTCGTGGTGTTTACACCTTCGCGATGATTACGTTTGAGATGCAAGCCTCGCGATCCCATTTCTGTGGCTTCAGGCTGACAGGTTGAGGACATACTGACGAATGCTTCATGAAGGCTTACACTCAGGTTGAAGCTTTGCAAATATGACCAAGTTCGGTTAACCTTCCGAGGATGCCCATAGGTTGTGTGCTACCCACACCTCGCTCTTTCGTCAGAAATTAACGAAACCGTTCTTTCAACCAACTAATAAAGTTCTCTAGTCGTATCCCAAAATCCGACTTACCGTGGACTTCAACGTGCACGCAGCACGTGCGTTAAGCTGATTTCTGCCCAACCATCTCGGAACCCTGCAGCCCTATATCCCTCATATACACCCTACGAAAGAACCCAATATGGAAACCTCATGCAGTATCCCTTTCAGAAGCCTAAACCGTCCTGAAGCTGTTGCGAGGGATCTGCGAGCAGAGCATCATGACGCCTTCCATCGGAGGCTGCCCTGTCAAGCCTCCAATGTGTTTAATATCTTTACCGCTGCTATATCACATTTATCGGGATGTGAAGTCTATAGTCTATAGGTAATGCTATTATAATTAGACCTCGCTCCACGCCAACTTCTATTGCGGACCTTTGTAGACAACAACTCGGGCCGGAAGCGCGAAAGCCCATACCAAGTCCTGACTCCCTTGGCATCCTAAACCCTACACCCCAGTCCTTGAACCCCAAACCTAAACCCTAAACCCGAAACCCTATACATCCTAAACCCCATGCCCTATGCGCCCGAAGCCCTGAGCATTGATGAATTTTCCGGGGGGGGGGGAAGAGATTTTGGCGCTGTGCCTGCAGGTGCAAGGCCGAGTCACTAGAGCTATCACTAATGCATAGCATGTCCTTACGGAGTGAAGTGCAGCAATCCGGTACCATTATTGATGTTTCTTGTTTCTGGTTTTCTGCGTGCAGAGTTTTGCAAAGGTTAGTGCCTGGTGTGTGCAAATATCTTGACGAAGGAGGCGGAACTCGAAGCCTAGGCTGCTCTGTAGCCCGAAATCCCGCAGTATGAGTTTAATTAGTAGCTGCCCGCATCACCTCGAAGACTGCGAATGGAGGCTTCTCAAAGTTGCCACAGCATGCGCCTTTGACAACATGGCTTTGATTGCACAACAGCGGAGTGCGCAGCAGGCGCGGGGTAAAGTGGATCTTCAAAAAGGTGTGGGGTTTGGCGCTGTCCGGCTTTCCGGCTAAATCCACGTTCTAGCTGTGAGGTTTGACCACTAGTCTTTCGAAGTTGGCGTGGATCACTCCTTCCCCTAAGGGTCCATGTGCCCAAACAGTATATACTTTGGCCCCACGGTACCTATATAGGACTACATTAAGGCCAAAGCATCTACTACTGTTGATGGTTTAAATCCTGCATGACCCATAACGCAGGAATTTACCATAATTCCCATAGTCTAGGCATGCAGGATTTAGATCATCCACCGTATTTGGGCACATGGACCCTTACGTGTGACGTCTCTGAGGCTCATCGCAAGGCTCGGAGTGTTGTTGCACACACTACCTCCCTCGGATTCCCTAAATCCTTTAATCAAGGATCATGGCACTTAGTAAGTAGGGTTATAAGTACCTTAATTGGGGTTAGAAGTTAGTATAACTGTAGTTACCTTGCTTATAACCCAGTTACTAAGTCCCATGACCCTTTAAGTAAACCCTATGAACCCTGACCGTCTTCGGGGCGCCCGGGGCTTGGAAATCAGTTACTTTGAAGGGCTCAAGCTGGCGTAATGAAGACTCTGCACTCGCTAATATTACGATTAGCTGTAGTGTAGATATGATGATTGGTGTCGTGTCGTTTAGGATTTATTGTTCTTTATATGGTTATTGTTCGGGACGAGCAGTCATCTTTTATTCAACGTTTACTCCATGGGCTGTAGAATCAGAATCGCAGATCTCTGCGCCGAACCCCAACCGACGGCCCTGTAGACCCCACAGTCAGAGGCTCGCAATCCAGACAGCAGCTTTCGCATATGGCAGTCATAGGTGTAGCCGTAGACTTACTATGCGTATGCATGCGTGTATGTGTGTATGTATGTATGTATGTATGTATGTACGTACGTACGTACGATGTGTGTGTATGTATGTGTTTAGGTATATGTATATGCTTTTGCATACATATACTTGTATACATGTACGTGTTTATGTATATGTAACGGTATATGCACATATACATGTACATGTAATCCAGGTATATGTGTATATGCTATAAGAAACACCGAACAGGCTATGCGGAAGGCGCAGTGGCGTACCTGCGAGGACTTTCGGCGCCTCGGAAGTCTCTAAATTTCTAAAGTTTTAGGGATAGGGGTTTGGGGCTTCAGCGTTTAGCTGTTACGGGTGTAGGATTTTAGGGTTCATTCTTTACGGGGTTCCGGGCATTAGTTTGAATGGGTTAAAAGTTTCAATCCGTTATCGCCAAAAGCATCGCCATGATCTCTCAGTCCTTCATGCCGAGGAAGCTGCGTTTCCTGCAAGTACTCGTCCAAAGTCAGGGCAATCCTTTTGGCTGCGGTCCACTGCCAAGGGACGCCGGTTGAAACTTCAGCTTAGAAGCCAGTTTTCAATCCCTCATGACATGGCGAAGAGTTGAAACCCGCCAGGGACATAAACTTTATGCAGCACTAAGAACGCTCGCCTTTGCCGAAGCTTGCGGGAGATTCCCTAAGCTGTACGAGATCCGTTAGCCAGCAACAGAGTAGCCAAAGCCTTCGAAACTGCAAAATCCCGTTCTTTTCTGTTGTGCTTCTAGTGAAACTCGGGGGAGAGATGCAGGCAAGAAGCTCGTGCCAAGGAGATTCTTCAAAGGCGGGAGGTCTGAAGAGGGGTGTGGGGAGCTTCGGGGTTTTCATTCGACAGCTCCGCGCAAAAGGGTTGTGGGCTATAGACCAAGAGAGGGCCTCATACAGAGGCTATAATGTGTTACTTAGACTTACGGCTCCTTATTCTAATTGTACTATAACGGAGACCAACACCCGATCTTGATTATGTTGGGGTTCCGGGTAGCTTAGGGAGCGTGGCTTCGAAAGCCGGACCAACTGCTTCAGGAGGGGTTTCAAGCTCCATCAAACCTCTAGAATTCGTGGAAGAGAATCCTTGAAAGCCAAAGCCCATAGCAGAAAAGATTCAGCTGATATCACAATTGAAAGGCATCAACGCCTAATCCCCGAAAGTCTACATTGTCTCAACGCGTCGTCGGCAGCTCGGCGGTCTCGCAACCCCGCAGGGACTAGGACTGCAACATTGAGAAGCAACATCCCTATAGCGGACCTTGCCCCCCCCCCCCCCCATACTGCTATGGTTGTGGATGTTGATGTATCGAATCTATCGTAAACCCCACACCCTAAACTCTAAAAGCCGCGAACCCTAAACAAAAACCTAAACCCCAAACCCCAACCCCAAACCGTAATCGCAACGGCCCTGGACCCCTTGACCCTTAAACTTATTCTGCCTCTTCCAGGCGAGGAAGACTAGCAGCGAACCATGCCCAGGATGTTTCTTCGAGGCCCCGGCCTTCGTTTTGTGCTTGCCAGTACCAGGAGCTCGGGGGTTCGGGCTTCCGGGGTAGGGATTTAGGGTTTAGGGTTCCTTAGGAAGGGTAGGGTCTGGCCTCAGGTGCTTCAAGACTCCGCTATTTTTTTTTTCACAGGGCATTTTTGGGATTATTCCGTACAGTAAGCAATAGTTTGCTACGTTCGGGGTTGAGGGGTTTCGTGCTTATCTGTACGGCTTTGCGCAATCCGCAGATGCTGTATGCGTTCTTGCATGTTGGTCAAGTTTCGAGTCAGTTTCTGGCATGCAATTCGAAAAATTTGTTGGCGGGACAATAACTAACCGATAACCTCTGCGTTGCGAAGAGATGTCCAGGCGCAGCATGCATAATGTGGACACCTCTCTGCACTTATTGCATCCTGAAGCCCCGGCGCCGGATGTCCGTGGCACCCTGAATCTCCGATCCAAACTTTCTCGAAATCCTACCCTAAAGCCTAAACTCCCTAAACCCGAAACCTTAAACCTGAAACCCTAAACCCGAAACCCCAAACCCATTCCCGGGGCCAAACCCGAAACCCTGTGCTCTCAGCTGTCCGACAACACCCAGGTGTGCCGAGGAAGCAGGGGACTTTGTTCACCAACTCCAGGTCCTCGAGGAGGAGGCTTCAATAGGGGACCACAGGGTTCCTCTAAAGGTAGGGTTTAAATAGGGTTTAGGGTTTAAGGTTTAGGGTTTAGGGTTTTAGGGTTTAGGGTCCTTAAAGGAATCACTATCGTGAAGGAAGGCTTCCCATCCCGAAGGGTCCTATAAAGGGTTCAGGGTTTAGGGATAATATCGTTCCTTTAAGGGGTACCATCAGGGGTCCCTTAAGGGATCTATATACAAGGGTTCTAGAAGGGCTTAGGGTTTCAGCGTCCATGTGGGAGTTTCCGAAAATAGGGGATCCAACAGAGTACCCTAAATAGTAGAATCCTTATCGTGAGGACCCCAAAACAAGGTACCCCTTATCTTCGGAAACTCCCTAAACCCTAAACCCTTTATGGAACCCTTATAGATCCCTTAATTATAGATCCCTTTAAGGAACCCTTTTAAAGGAACCCTTATTGTTTGGGCGAGTGTGCTCCTGGGGATTCTCGGGCCTTGGGGTGGGTTGGTGTTAGGGTTTTCGGGAAGGACCAGAGTCTACTACAGCGTCTAGTGCAAGGGTGTGTGTCTGTGGGGGTGGGGAGGCAGATGGGGGGCAGAAGTAGGGTGGGGCCCTGAGCGGAGAGAGCTAGTGTGAATGGTTCCGCTATCCGCGATCCTGACTGCTACTGGCCCAAGCTGCCAGCAACTTGAACAAGAAATCCCAAGTGAAGCGCAACGGGCGCAATTCATTATTGGCCAGGTGAGTCCGGAGAAGCGCGCTGAGCTTGAGTCGTGCCAGACCGCGCTTCGTGAGGAATGCCACTCGACAGCAGGACACGGGGCAGCTTTTAGTAATTTCGAGTTGTGACTAAAGTTTTCTCGTAATGTAGGGGCCTCGATAATTAGAGTAGGGTTTTTTGGGGGTTCCTTATTAGACTTATTATTATAGTATAATTATATAAGTAAGGCCCCTCACATGACCGTTGCTGGCAAACCCTAATCCCCAAACCCCGAGCCTTAAGCCCTGAGCCGAATAATCCCAAAACCCTGACTCTTACATCGAGGCTTGGATCTAACCCCATAACTCAGGGTCTGGGGTCGTAGGGTTGTGGGGTTTTGGGGCTTCAGGCTGTTAGGGTGTAGGCTTTGGGCTTTGAACTTTAAAGGGTTTAAGGCTTTAGTTGGAGGCCTCGCCCCAAAGACTGATCGTCCGAGACGAGACCGAAATGGACATCCAATGACAGATGTGTGCAACCAAGACGTTCTGCGGCCTGCTTGATATCACAAGTACGCAACCCTTCAGCAAAGCTTCGACCTGCCCATAACCTTCCAACACATGACTCAGGTAGCGCGCAAGCTTAGCCTTCCAAATCTACTACAGGCTTTGGCCCCTAAAAGCTGAAATCGTTTAGGCTCCTTGCTTCTAAAGCTACAACCCTTGAACTCATGTAAGGCCTCAGTTCTGAAACATCAAAAGCAGCATAACAAACCCACGAAGTGCTTCACGGGCCGTCAACGCCCGGAAACGCCGCAAGGTAAGAGCTTGGCAGAGAGTGTCACTGCCTTTCGACTCCTCGCCGAGAGTTTGGCTGTGCCTTCAGCCGATGGCACGGAGATGCCATCGAGCCTGAAAGCTCAGTGCGCCGGGGTTTCTGCGTCTACGAGCTGTGGGTTAATATGCATGAGGATACAAATGGCTATCAAAGTGTATTCATGTTCCGAAAAAGAACTGATCTAGGAAGTTAGGGGCCGGGCTTGGTTTAGGGTAGCTGGTGGGTAGGTCGTTCTTGTCTCGGTGAGCATATGCCATGTACACTCTTGACTGTGGTCAGCGATCCTGGTCTGTGAGTTTAACGAGTTTGCCCAAAGTTGCATGTTTCGGGCGGGTAGTTGTTCTTCGGTCGGTCTGTTTCCAGAACATCTTCCTCCTGGTGTTTCAGCATCTTACTACAGAGCCGTCGGGTTTTGACTGAGTGTTTCACGACGCTTCAGAGATTCGATTCCGATGGCGAACGAACTATGGATTCACATTGTCTTCCCATCCAGCACTCAGTTTCCCGACTAGTGTTTATAGGGCTTAGCTCCCTAGATCTCATCGGCCCTAAGCCGTGTCCCCTATGTCCCAAATCCAAACCCTGAAGCCACTTCTTGGCTGGATGCGCGAACTCTTCTTTGATCGATAGAGGTTTTCCATGATACAAGGCAATTTAAGGTGTCACTTAATCAACAAGTCATTCGCGCCCTTAAACCCGGAACCTCACAAAGTTGTATACGAAGCCAGGAGACACTGTGGAGGCTCTACAAGAATTCAGGAATAATTAAGGGGTATCGGGCCGTGCCGGCATCTCTTTAAACGAACTAAGGCCTTCTGACAGGCACCTGGGCGGAGCAGAAGCTGGGGCTTCTCGCATGCAGCTTTGAGATTTACGGGGCTTAGGGTGTTGAAAGGGGGTCTTGACTTGGGTGTATCTTCTACATGTGGTGAATGGTGGGGTCTTCTGATAAAATTTCTGCTGATGCCGCGGCCCCCGCCTCTCGGAGGAAGTGCGGACGGGCTATAGTTTTGAACGGTATCTGGAGACCATGGACCTCAAACGAGACAGTTGAACAATGCTGGGCCTTGTAGATCTTTAGGGTACAACGGTATGGCTTGTTTCATGTCCCTTCCATGGGTTTTCGGAGATAAGATGACTAGTGGTACGATCATTACATGGGTTGCAGTTGGACGGTTCTCAATGGAGATATCTGCCATGTGGTCGCAGCGTCAACAGCATGTGGAAGACATGTAACGCGACCCCCGATGGCAGCGGCCTCAAAGGAGTTCCGTCAAATATACACAAGCTCAGGTGACACAGGAGCCAAACCACACAATCAAAGAAGCACAAGAGCACACCGATGTGCACATAAGCATCATAGCAACGCGACAGCCGCCGGCTGCATGCATGAAACCGCACAGACTAAGAGTTTTGCTGACTGGGGAGGAGACGCAGTTGCTGCAACATGCGCTGCCGGTATCAGCGTCCAACTGAATGCCCTGGCGTCGTGCAGATTCCATTCTCAAGAACCCCCAAGGGCTACGGTCGGGGTTGCTATGAAGGCTACCATGAGGGTTACTGTACGGTGAAATCCCTGCATAGAACCCCATCACGCGAGAGTAACCTACCCTAAGGTTCTAATTGTCCATTTACCTCTGGTTTGGCTGGCTGAGTAGATAGGGGAGGCTGAGGTTCTTAACCACGTTCTTATCTGGACACAGCATGTACCTGGAGCCAAAATGGCCACGGTATCTGCCCTCAGGCAAAAACGAACTCGAGTCTGACTCTAATTCGTTTTTGCCTTTGCCCACCCCTGCCAGCCGCTGCCCGGTGTGTTCATAGCGAGGCCACAGCGAAACCACTTCCACCCCACAAAATCAGAACCTAGTCCCGAAAACTACAGATAACACAGTCAATAAATAGATGAATAGATGTAAACACATAAATGGACAACTCAATCTCTCTATATTACACATATGTATATACACACACGTGCGATTAGGCTTACCAACACAAACTTATAAGCGTTACTATGGAGGCTCGGACGCCGCAACAGCCTGGCAGCCGACCGACGCGAGCGGTCTTTGGCCACGGCAGCACGGCGAGAGGGGCCACCTGGCGATCACGAAAGCGCTCTAGGGCTTCAGGGTTCTGCATTCTGTATACATACGTGTACATACTATCTATCTATCTATATATATATATATGTATAATATATATATATATATATATATATGTATATACCTATATGTGTACACATATATATAAATATATACATATACATATATATAACTATGTTTATGTATTTGTATATACGTATGTACACAGATCTATGTCTCTATAATACATATATATATATATGGTTTTCGGGTTCAGGGTTTGGGAAGGGCTTTAGGGCTTCAGGAGTTTGTTATTCTTAGATATTGCGGCCAACAGCACTGAAGTCTCCGTGTTTGTGCTGCCAGTCGAGTCCCGCCGATCACCTTGAAAATGGCTAGGCTTGCAACTGAGAAGTCGCGCGGCATGCGCCTTTTTTGAAATGTTTGAGCCCTCGGCGAGGCCCTGGCCCCCGCAGCTGCCGCTGGAAGAGCCTCTCGTGGAAAGGCTCCAAGCCGAGAAAGAGGCGTGTGATCTCCACCAGTTTAATTAAGCGGCTTTGGGTTCAGGGCAGACTATATATTATGTATGTATATAGGTGCGTGTGTGTGTGTATGCTATATATATATATATATGTATATATATATATATATATGTATAGAAGCATATATATATATATTTACACATAGACAGATGTTAGATTATGTGTGTTGAGAGAAGCAGCAGCCACCGCAGTAGCAGTAGTTGTCTTCGTAGTATTGGTAGCGAGGCAGAGCTGCAGTCGAAGCAGTTGTGGACCCGTGGTAGCATCAGCAAAGCCGAACCTTGCAGCAGTGGGAGCAGTAGCACAGGCAGCAGCACGAGCAAAATTAGCAGTTAGCAGCTACCAGACCTTGAATGGTCGAACTGGCAATTGGGTGGCACGGTATTGAATTCCAGATTTTCGCTGAAGACCTAAAGCCCAGACCCTCAATGCGCCGTGCAACCAGCCCCAGCGTCCTGTAAGCCAGAGCCCTGAAGCCCTGCAGTCAGACGTAAAGAAACGATCAACCCCACAAAGAAATCCAAAACTCATGCAGCAACCCTGAACCCCGAATTTCGCCCCGCATGGGGGGGAAATTGATCTAAACCCGAAACCCCTAAGCCCTACACCCGAAACTCTTCGCAAAATCGATCAACCCGCAGCAAGCCAGGCTTGGCGACAGGAGGCGGGCTCCGGTTTCGAAAGCTCCGAGGAGTCGCCATCGGAGGAAGACGAGGTGAGCCTTCTTGGCGGGGTGGGGATTTGGGGGTTTAGGGGCTGGGGCCTGAGAAGTGTCTTTTGAAGATTTGATAGGGGTGTGACAAAGGACTTTACTGTGTTTTAGGCCGTAAGGTTGAAGAGGTTTGGTTGGCTTTCGGGCTTTAGGTATTTCTGGGGATGTTGGGCTTAAGGCTAAGGACTCCAGGGCTTGCAGGGTTTACGGCATTGGTTGAGCGCTTGAGGTTTCAGTTGTTCCTGTCAACCTGTTGTTGAACATGTTTCTGATTCGTAGCACTCATGTAGAACTTGATCAGTTGCTTTTGGCTCAGGGTGGCACGGCGTGGTGTGTTGAGGGGCCGAGGTTCGCAAGTTGCAGTTCGTTGTTTCTTTGCTCGCATGATTGACGATTCTGCAGTTAGGGTTCGGTTCGGAACGGTCTGTTTGTCGAGTTCAGGTCTGCCTATGCGCAAGCTGTCCCTGGCTTGAGATGGCTTGCTCGGAATGCTGGAATTGACAATCCTGCTGCCCGTCAATTTCGTGGATGGTTCGACATACTCATAGTCTTCTGGCTCATGTAAGCCAGTACTATATCAGAGTGTACTATATCAGAGTGAACACATGCATACCCCCCTAGCCCCCGAACCTCCATCCCGAACTCAACAGTCACATCCCAGCTTCCTGGGGGAGTCCAAACCACCCGAACTTAAGGTTTCGTTGTTTTCTTTCTTCCAGTACTTGGGGGTTTTGACTTCGAACTCACGCTGTGTACACCAAAATTCTCAGATCTTGAGCCCTAAACCCCAAGGCCGTCCCAAGGCCCCGCAGCAATCGGATCGCCTGAGGAGTGGCCCGCCCGGGTGGCCGCGGCCATGGCACTCCTTGACCAACATCAGCCCAAGCCCGTGAAGGCCCGGCTGGGCTTTAGGGTTTAATATATAGGGGCATCAATAATTATGTATACTATTTTTGTGGGGTTCCTTCTTATGCTTATAGCATAATGGACCCCCAAACCCTATTCAAATTATTGAGGCCCCTACATTAAGGTTTAGGGTGAGGGGCTTCAATGCAATCCGGCTCTAACACGAAGTCGGCTTTCGACCCGTAAAAGGCAAGGCAGCGCAATTCCGCAAACTTGTGCACTATATGGCTAGTTACTCATTACCAGACCCCTCAACTAGCCCGGCATATACCCTAAATGCCGGCTATTAGGGTCCATAAGGGCTCTATTACAGGGTTTTTTGGGGGTCCTGGTAAGGTTATTTCGGGGCTTAAGGTTTCAATTTGGCTTGAGGTTCGATCTTCGCTCGCCGGGCTTTAGATTGCCATCCTGCTTCCAAATTCCTTCCCCGTAGCTCCAAATCACGACCTGGGCTGTGGCCTTCCGAGTCGCGGTTACGGGGTGCGGGGGTATAGAGGTTGTGGGTTTAGGGGATCACCAGGAGGCTCCAAGCCATCTGGGCAGGTGCGCATGGCGGGTCTTCGCCAATCCACGATCGGTGACCAGGAGGGTGGGATAAACGTCTGGAAAGCAGGTGTGACTTCCAGCACCCTTTATTTGCAGGGATTGGGCGAAGGTGAAGGGCTGCTTGCTTTCAATTGCGACTCACACGTTTATGTTGTCACGCTTTGTCCGGGTCTTCGGATTTTGCCGGGTCCGACGAGGTTTTCCAGGGTGAACTACCCAACGCTGCTCGGTGCAGGACACATTCAAGCGTCTGGTGGCTGAAAAGTTCGCTGAGGCGCTACTTTGTCAGCTGTCTAGCTTTCAGCCTCCCTCTCCAAATTTCGTAATGCTGATGTGTGTGCCGTGTCACAGACCCGAACCACAAGAGATTGGCAGGGTGAGGTTGGGGTGAGCGAGATCTTGCAGCTGTTCTCTTCTTTGGCCCATCATGCCCAGCAGCATAACAAGAGTAACAATAATAGTTATGATTAACAACAAAAACAGAAACCTAAAACAATCATAACGCCTAGCGCCCATTTAAAATGGAGTTTCTGGCTTGCCGTTACAGGATTTATCGGCTTAGAGGGTTTCGGGTTGCAGGTTTCGAGGGCCCCGTGCCTTCAAGAAGCCCTAACCCTAAGGGTCCATGTACCCACATGATACAGACTTTAGCCCCAGAGTACCTATATAGGAACTACATCAAGGCCGAAGTATCTACTATTTGGGTATATGGACCCGTAGGGTAAGTCGTGGAGGCCATCAACATCGATTCGGAGGAGATCCGGGTGAAAAACATCCGTGGAGGGACGCCTCGCGCCTGAGGCTCCGAATAAGGACCCTGGAACTGAAAGTTCTTAGCGTCTCAGAGCAGGGCTTCGTAATTATCTTTCTCTTTGGCTCTCTCCCACTCTCTTCCGCTGTTCTCTCCATATCTGTGTATGTAGTACACAAACATGTGTGTATATATATATATATATATATATATATATATAGATATACATATATGTATAAGGAGTAGGCAGAAGGACTAGGATACCAAGCAAACCTAACTAGGATACCAGTTCTAAGCTTAAAACCCCAAACCCTAAAGGCCAAACCAAAAGGTTTTTAAGTCCATTAGGGTTTAAGTTGGGGGCTTTAATACCTAAAACCCTAAAGCCCCGAACCCTACAGCCAGACCCCCAGGGTTTTAAGACCATTAGGGTTTAAGTTGGGGGCTATAATACATAAAACCCTAACCCATAAAAGCCCAAATCTAAAACCCCAAACCCTAAAACTTATGTACTAAAGCCTAAACCCCTTTTTGCTAATGTGAGAACCGCAGCCGTCCATGCCATGACATGCTGTACCTTCTTCCTGATGGTCATCCCTGTTCCTGGGCTTTCTGTGTCGGTTCGGTCCCTAAAGCCCTAACCCTACAGCCAGACCCCCAGGGTTTTAAGACCATTGCGGTTTAAGTTGGGGGCTTTAGTACCTAAAACCCTAAAGCCCCTAACCCTACAGCCAGACCCTCAGGGTTTCAAGACCGTTCGGGTTTAAGTTGGGGGATTTAATACCTAAAACCCTAAAGCCCCTAACCCTACAGCCAAACCGCCAGGGTTTTAAGACCATTAGGGTTGGTTTAATACCTAAAACCCTAATACCCTAAAGCTTCTAACCCTAAAGCAAGACCTCCAGGGTTTTAAGACCATTAGGGTTTAAGTTGGGGGGCTTGAATACCTAAAACCCTCATACCCTAAAGCCTCCAACCCTAAAGCTAAGACCCCCCAGGGATTTAAGACCATTAGGGTTTAAGATCGGGGCTTTAATACATAAAACCTGAACCCGAGAGCCCAAATCTAAAACCCCAAACCCTAAAGCAAGACTCCAGGGTTTAAGTTGGGGGGTTTACTTAATTGAGACCTTAGATTTTCAGGCTCAAGGGCTTTCAGTCATCATATAATATCTAGTTATATTTAATCATCATCATCATCATCATTGTCCTTCATGATATATTACTTTCACCATCATCATCATCACCATCATCAACATCACATCGGCGCTGCTGGTGCGGCGGCAGCCGCTGTGCCCGGCCTGCGAAGGCCGGGGTTGGGGGGTGGGGGTGTTAGGTTTAGTAAGGGTTTAGAGTCTAGGCCCCTCGTTTGGTAATTGGGAGTTTCCGAAAATTAGGGAATCCCTGTATAGTACCCTAATATAACAGTATCCTTATTATAAGGACCCGGACCCCTAAATAAGCTACCCCTAATTTTCGGAAACTCCCATCTAGGTGTAAGAGTGTATTAGGCAGGTATTGTAGGGTTTTGGGTTTGTTTATTAGGTGTAAGAGTTTATTAGGTATGGTAAGGTTTTGGGTTTGTTTGGTTTGGGTCTGGGGGTTTAGGTGCAAGAGTTTACTAGGTATCGTAGGGTTTTGGGTTTGTTTGGGACTAGGAGTTTAGGTGCAAGAGTTTACTAGGTATTGTAGGGTTTTGGGTTTGTTTGGGTCTAGGAGTTTAGGTGCAAGAGTTTACTAGGTATCGTAGGGTTTTGGGTTTGTTTGGGTCTAGGAGTTGAAGGTTTTGGGCGCTTACAAGATATGGTAGGGTCTACAGTTTAAAGGGACTGCTTGTCTGTGAGGCACCGGAACATGCTGGATAAGAGTGTCGAACCTCATTCTGTCTACATTTGTGTGAAGTTGTATGTCAGGGACTTGCTTCTCAGTCAACCACCTTTGCTGGTAGCCTCTGCAGAACGTCTTTCTCGCATCAGGGACTCAAGCCCTCGAGCTGTTCATGCAATGGTCCCTCTGACTGAGGCACAGTTGAAGACATATGGCATGTTGGCAGATTTGTGTGCTGGCAAGTACATGCTGCCCAGAGCAGCCCAGGCACTCAATGCTTTGATGATGGATCGAAAATATGTCGTGTATCATCTTTCATTTCTGAGCCAGGCCCCCACGTGTTTTCAGAATGATGCCAGAAGGACATGCGCAGCTTCCAATACTGCCGAGTAGTTGCTGGAACCTGATGGTACGCTTTAAACGCTGCTGAGATGTGTCTGTCGACCTGACAGTCTCACTGTCTGGCCCGGCAGAGACCAATGCTGTTGAGTAGCTCCTGGCAGCTGATGATCAACTTCGGACAGTGAACAAAAACCATTTGCAGGCCTATACTGTGGTTACAGCATCTGTCTGAAAAGCACATCACCATGGTTCTTGGTCTCCTGTGCTCAAGAAGCAGGCTTGCAGTCCAGCAGGCCATCTGTCCGTAGAGAAGTAGCTTAGAGAACCATGTTTCGGCGAGATGTGGCTCTTGCTTGTAGCATTTCATTGTTTGGCTGGACAGTCCTTGAAATTCATTGTTTGCTGGACAGTCCTTGAAATTCTGGAAGTGCCAACAATGACAGAACAGGCCCGTGATCTCGATGTCGTGGAGATCTTCAGTGTGTCCACAGCAATTGTGAAAGCTGCACATCGTGCAGGTCTGGCCGCCGACAGTTTTGATTACACCAACAGCCACCAGTCAGATGTATTGACAGCACATGGTTTCTTCCAAGCTGTGAAGATGGTTCTTCGTTTGAGACTTGTCTGTCCAGAATCAGGGATACACTCTTCATCTGTTTTGTCTGTTTTGTTGACTCAGGAAAGCAGGCACTCTGCTTTGTTTGGCACCGGGCTGCAGCTCGTTCTCATTCCCTTGTATTCATTGGACAAAGAGGAAGAAGGGTAATTTTGCTGGTGATCTAGAGAACCCAAAAGTCCGAGCAGGAAACCTGATGGCCAGATACTTGCAAGCAATAGAGATGTCTTGTCTCGTCTGTCACAATTGGTTGGGAAATACGTGTAGGGGCCAACCCAAGGACTGTCTTTTGTCTTCTTGGCGCTCGGTGTAGCAAGGGGACTCGCCACATCATCTTTGAGAACCCGGTGAATTCCACTATGTTCTCATTCCTGAAAGGGCACATTGAGCGACTGTCTGAAGTGCCTGATTGCAAGTTGAATTTTTTATCTGCCGAGTGTGCATATGTGGATGACAGACCCACATACAAGAAAGTCTACAAGTTCATGGCTCCTGGGCAGTGGATGAAAAATGCTATTCGGCAGTGCACATGTTCAGATCATCTTCTACTCATGAAGTCCAAAGAATTTGAAGATGGCACCGTGGCCAAGACTGGCAAAGACGACCTCAAAGGCAGTGGTCTGTATCCGGCTGCAATGGGAGAGGCCATCTTCAAGGCCTGGCAGGAGTTTTGCAACAGGCCTGCAGTCTCTACAGTCTCTACAGCCCCTACAGTCCCTACAGTCCCACAGCCGACAATCCCTACAGTCCGGCGGGCAACGTCCGCTGCAGGGTCTGATCCTTGGGGCGAGTTTGAGCCAGAAACAGGCCCACAGTCTCACAGGCGTGTACAGAGAGTTGTAAAGAAGAAACATGCAGCAAAGAGGACTGTACAGAAGAAAACAGCCATGAAGGTTTTTAAGAAACCAGCTGGTAAAACCAAGATGCAGAAACAGTTTGAGACTGAGTCTGCCCAGCTTGGCATTGAGACATGTGGTTCTGAATCGGACCCATGGGCCTCATAGAATTTTGGCTTGCGCAGCATTATGTGATTTGTCTGTGATGTGCAACAATGATGCTGTGCCAAGCAGTTCTTGCACTTGGCTGCCACTCTCTGATGCATTGTGATGGTGCCCCTACAGACACTTTTTGGTAGTTTTGTTCCCCTTGACTGTAGCTCTCTACACTGTAGTAGTTTCCGGCCATGTTTGGTGGTTGTATGGCTGATGTGGTGCCCCTCAGCCAGGGAAGCATCAGTGGAAGAGCAGCCGTCTGTCTTGCGAAGTTTGAGCTCCTCATCAGTCGTCACTCCTTCACCAAATCCTCGCAAAGCTCTTTTCCAGGATCCTATCCCGTCCCCAGCTGAGCTGAGGAAGGAACGGGAAGGGCAAAAGAAGTCTGTGGTGTCTAAAAAAGAACTGTATGTCGAACTTGATGGGAAGCTGACTGCTGGAGAGCAGCAAATTGAAGGCCATGGGCAAGCTTGACCCCACAGTCTGACAGTCACACAGGCCCACAGTCTGACAGTCACACAGGCCCACAGTCTGCTCGTGACACAGCAGGCCCACTGTCCGACCCCACTCATGGCCTGAGTGTGGATTATCGGAAATCGGCAGCCAGAGAAGAGAGGAACAAGATCAAAGCAGAAGCCAAGGCACAGGCTGCTGCTTTGGCACAGGCTCGTCATGGTAAGGGGGGCCGTGGCAAGGGCGGCAAAGGCGGTGGCAGGGTGGCAAAGCTGGTGGCAAGGGTGGCAAAGGCCGTGGCAAGGGGGGCTCTGGCAAGCAGTCCAACAGTCCGACAGCTCCAGAGACCAAGGGCAAGGCTGCGCCTCAGAAGCGCGCTGCTTCTACCATGAAGAGGCCGGCGGCAGCAAAGAGCACGAACAAGCGTCCTGCTGCACGATGTGCAGATCCTGATGCCGATCTGAGAAACCCAACCGTGCAAAAGCTCGATGCCGCTGAGAGTGTCGAACTTGCATCCTCTGGCACATCTGCTGAGCTCCAAAGCCCAGCAGCAGCCCCACAGACCCCAGATGCAGGCTTGCAGTCCGACAGTCCTGCAGTCGCACACTCCCGGGATGATCACAACAAGAAGGATGCAAAGGACGAGGTTGCCAAGGACGAGGATGCCAAGGACGAGGATGCCAAGGACGACGATGATGATGGTGAGACTGACTCCGACAATGACAGTCTTGACTCCAAACAGCACAAGTCGTGGCCGAAGAAGAGCACCTTTGCTGGGCGGCGCCGTCCAGAAGCAAAGCGCTCTGACAAAGGCTTGAAGACTTGGCTCGTCAAGCGCATGTCCTTTTACAAGATGATCCAAAAGAGTGACTGGAGCGAGGCCAATGAGCGTCTGTGGTACTCTGTCTTCACTCCGACACGTACTGCAGAGGATGCTCGGATGTTCTTCCAGCAGGAGCTCGACGACAGGAAGATTGAGAAGGGTCTTTGAGCAGTCCCACAGGCTAAAAGTCGGTAAGAAGATTGGCCAGGGTCTTTGGGCCGTCCGGCAGTCCCACAGGCTAACAGTCAGCTACCAGCTTTGATTGCAGCCTGGGGCCATGCAGTTTTGTTGCTCTTTGTGTACGACAGTGTGGAAGTTTGCAGTCTGACCATGTGTGTCGGCATGAAGTTGCTGAGCACTTTTCATGGGGAATCTGTGTTTGCCTCTCGGTCTCACAGTCAGACAGTCCAGAGACTGTAGCTGTCTTGTGTATGGGAGGCTTAGGTACAGAATAATTTGATCTTTAATTGGCTGTGTTTCCTGAACCTTGACCTCTGGCTGTTGGATAGCAACAGTTGGTAGGCAGGGCAGGGCGCCCTAGAAATACTTCACCATGATTGAAGGTCCTGTGTACTGTAGTAAGTTGTTGCAGAATTCTTGTGGTTACTTGGATGAGGTATTGTGGCCAAGCGCAGCATGTGTCTCACTGGGATGAAGTGAAAGTGGTGTACACTGTGTGAAAAGACCAACAATGCCAAACTGTGCGCTGCTTTTCATTTTTCTTGTTGCCAGAGTCAGTGAAGCTGCAATGTTGATTTGAACTGCTTGGTCATGCAGAGCATTTTGCTCAGTGTCAGGCAGGCAGTCCTACTGTCCTGCAGGCAGCATGGCAGAGGACAATGCGGCACATGCTTCTATGCATACACTTTTTCAGCAGGCAATGGCACTGTTGAAATCTGAGATTGACCACAAAGGTCCTGATGGCCGTGCTCTTTACACAGATGTTTGTGAGTGGCTTTCTGGAAAGGTTGCAACTCGAGAGCAGGGTGAACTTCCTGGTGCGGCCCTTCGAGGCCTCTTGCTGGACTGCTCCTCATGTTTGGGATTCACTGAGTCGACAGAACATGAGCAGTTCTACCCTGATGTGCAAAATTACAAAACTGGGGCGGGTCCATATTCATCTCCCACAGTCCTCAAGCTTCGATTGTGGCAGCCGGGTCTTGCTGAGATTTCACATGTGAAAGGTGCACCGCCTCTGCGTGGCATCAGAGACAATATTCAGCGATTCTTGGTGACTTGAGGTGCAGAGACAGACAAATACCCCCTCGAAGTGCATTTCCACTGGCCACACCAATGGACACCAGGACATGCAGTCACACAGGCCAACAGTCCCGAGCATTCTTCAGCAGCTGCAGTGTCCAACAGTCTGCTTCCAAGCACCACCTGATGACTTCACAATCGCCTTGAGTATTGGCTCCTCTGTGACAATGGCCTGTCAGCTGCTGTGCTGGACAGCCATCAAGCTGGACTGGATGGGTAGTGGCAATTTGATGGCAGATGATGTCAAGCAGGAACTTGCACGTCGACTTCTGAAGTGTTTGTGCTTCGCGTCTCAGTGCATTAAATCTTTTTGCATGAGGATCAAGCTGTTTGTTTTGGAAGATTCAATCAATATGCAGTCCCACAGTCGGACTGTCCACACTGTGGACAGTGGGACTGCGGGACTGCACCTGAAGAGACTACATTCTGGACTGGGGGCCTGCCTAACACTGACACCTTGTACGCATAGAAACTTACCTGGCCCTGAATATAGTCCTCCCAGCAGTTTTTTTGGCTTCTGACTTCAGACTGTCCCACTGTCTCACAGTTCCTGGCGCAATGGACGGAGATGTACCTTTTGACAGCAAGGTACTCACACACTGTGAGAGGGTGTCCAAGAGACGCAGAGTGCTCAACAATCTCAAGCAGACCGACATGTATCACCTCGCCAAATCGAATGTGGCCAAAATAGCTGCCAAAGAGACTTGTTGTTGTTCGAGTTCATATTGTTCGAGTTTATGTTGCCATAGTTCTCTTTAAGAGAACTATGGCAACATAAACTCGAACAATATGAACTCGAACAACAACAAGTCTGGACCTGGTCCCCTCAGTCCTCCGGTGACACCACGAGATATTGAGGACATGTCAAAGAGAGATTGGGAGAAACAGTTTTTTGTCTTCAAGACCAGACTACGTGAGTATGCCCAGTGCATGCAGGACTGATTACTTCCCTCTGCAGTCTCACACTCTGGCAGTCCCACAGTCTACAGTCCCAAGATTGAGAACAAGCTGTTGTGTGTTTTCTTTGTGTTGGTTTTGCACTGCCAGACTGACTGCTGAAGAGGAGATTCATATTTGTGGCCCAAGGACTTTGAACTGTATTTGGGACCCATGTACAATAGCCACACGCATACAGACTGACTGTCTTGTGTGGTGGGCATGGAGTACAGTCAGTCTTGCAGTCCTCTACAGTCCTAGACAATCAATCTGTTGAACCAGACTTTTCAACTGCAAGACTGACAAGCTCTACTGCACAATGACAAATTTATGAGACAAGATTTCAAAAGTATGACAGATGTGGTCTGTGTATGTTGCAACGAGTCTTCAGGCAGTGCAGTCTCACAGTCTCACAGTCCATTAACTACCGCAGAATAACAGACTGGGTAGCCTGTATCATGATAGTTGGACTGCGAGACTGGTAGACTACACAAAGACCTGTACATATTGTACTGTTTCTGCTGCTTTTTGCTCATAGCACACTAGCTTATCTCCCGGTCCTCAGTTCCACTGCCTGTCAATGCCATGGAGACAGATTCTCAAGAGGAGGGGGTATCTGACAAAATGGCAACCCGACTGGCTAAGCGTATGCGACTGGTTAAGCAGTTTCAGGCCACAAACGTGTACTTTCGCTCCAAGGTGCTCCTCATGCACGGTGACTCACAGTCGACTCCACCAGGGGACCCACCAGTGACACCGAGGATGGAGTTTTCAATTAGAAGGTGGGAAAAGATGTGGTATGTCTACAAAACCAGGTCCGGCCTCTATGCAGAGTGGCTGGACTAATTCAGTCTGGCAGGCCTTCAGTCTTACAGTCCACAGTCCTGCATTCTTACAGTCCACAATCCTACAGCAACAACAGGTTGTGAACTGTGGACTACATGACTGACTGAAGACTGTTGTTCGAAATTATTTTGCACTGACAGACAACAACCAGGGAAGCCTGATGTGGTGAAAAGACCTCTGGTTTCAGGCTCTGTATTGTTGTCGAAAGCCCTGGGTATGTTTTAACAAACAGTCACACAGTCCTACAGGTCTTGGGGTTCCAGGTTCCTCGTGTCGTCAGTGTAGCCGGCCCCCTTTCGTGTAGGCTCGTACTTGTACTGTAGTAACAAACAGTCACACAGTCCTACAGGCCTTGGGGTTCCAGGTTCCTCGTACAGTCACACAGTCCTACAAGCCTTGGGGTTCCAGGTTCCTCGTGTCGTCAGTATAGCCGTCGTTTTCGTCGTCGTCGTCGTGTCGTAAGGCCCCCCTCTCGTGTAGGCTCGTAATTGCACTGCAGTGGGAGATATAGGCCTTGAAGTTCTCAAAGAAAAAACCCAGGGATGTTGGTTCCAAAGGCTGGAAGGAATAGCTCAGAATCTCTCCAAGTCGGTATCCTAGTTACCCTGGCCTGATATCCTAGTTGTCTTGCCGACTCCTATATATATATATATATATATATATATATATATTGATTGTGTGTGCGTAGGCATGAGTGCATGTATGCGCGTACTTATGTAAACTTTCTCTGCAAGGAATTTGGGGCAGTGTTGCTAATGACTTTCAGTTTACATGGCTTCACGACAGGCACATCCTCCCAATCTCGCGCTTTGAATAACCGTTCGATACTTCCCATCGCTCAGGGTAATGGTCCAGTTTTTATAGGGACTAAATAGTTAACTATACTCTTTTGGTGTTCCTTATTATAACTACAGTACAATGGGCCCCAAAACCCTGTTCCGTTTGTAAAGCAATCATTGAGGCCCCTATATCAGTTGTACTGGGGGCTGAAAGTAACGCACGGATGAAGTCCTTGGCCCCACTTCATCGTTACGCAACCGGAACAGTCGGTGCCTGTCAAAGGTTAGTGTTCACGGAAACTGACAAGGTCTAGGATTTCGGCTCAAAACGGGTTCCCGCTGCAAAAGCTGGCCTCAGTTGTCCTAACACGTGTTCCCAGAGAGCAAACATACTACCCTGTGCATACGGTTGCTGCTGGAATGAGTTTGCATGCACCCACCCTCTTAGCGCCAAGCCCGAAACCCTGTTCAGCCTTAAACAAAACCCTTGACCCTGAACTTATGCGCAGGCTCAGCAACAACAGATCTCACTGCATTCTACCGTCCAGCTAACTGAGGCTCAAGATGGCGCATTTGTGACCTCCCTCCTGCCTCCCCTAACTATAGCTAGTCGGTAAGTCCAAGCCCCCTGGCCCCAAACCCGAAGCCCCTAAGCCCTAAACCCTAATTATAAACCGGATCCGGCAACCCAACAGCCAAATCCTAAGAAGCAGTGACTTCGGCTCTACTGGTCCATTGGCCAAACCCCAGGAAGCAACCTCGTGAACTCCTGAAGCCCAAGCTCAAACATGAACCCCCGTGCAGGGAGAAGCATGAGAGGCAAAACTTGGACTTGTCTGTCTTTCTGGCAGTCATGCCGCACTACCTGCAGCAGATTTAGAAACTGAGCCAGTAGATGTTAACCAGACTGTTTTTTCGAAGTAGTTTGAGACCAAATCATAGTGCACTGAGCTACTGTTGTTTCCCTTCCCCTGGCCTGCTCCGCGTAGTCGCTTCGCCATGGACTACACAGCGGGTTTTTCAATATGGCTGCGCCGCGATTCGTGTTAGGGGAGGGGCTCGAACCGTGGTCGAGTTTTTTTTGGAGGAAGGGTTCTTACAATTCAGCGCTAGGTTCGCTACTTGCGTCAATTTCCAGGAGCAGTTCAGTTCATGCCTTATACGCCCCAAGGCCTAAACCGATATCTAAGCGAAGCAGCGACCATCCAAGGCAGGATGCCATCGGCCAGATGATTGGCTACCTGCTTGCCACCCTGCCACCTGGCTAGAGCTGAAGTTACGGTTCCTTAAAGATTTTATAGGGGTTCCTGTAAAGGGATTAATAAATAAACAGGTATAGAAATACCTAAACCAACAAACAGACACCAAAACACATATATACATATGTATATGTACACATGCATTCGCATACACATGTTGCATAAATCGTACAGATATTTCACACAGTGCTTGAGTTGTCCTCCCGAGCCTTTCTTTTTCGACTCTTAGCCTGCTACACTCTGGACCCTCGCATTCTCGAAGCTTCATCGCCATACATACGATGCTCGAGTCTGATATCATATCAGCCACCATAAAACCTCAATGCCCAAACGCCTTCTAGAAAAGGGCTACAGCATCCTCGTAGCAGGGGCTGCAAGCCTTTCGCATCCCTCCGACTTCCGGGGGCTCTGCTGGTTTCGGCTTTACCTGGGGATGACTTTAACCCTAAGGGTCCATGCACCCAAATTGTGGATACTTTGGCCTTAATGTAGTTCCTATGTGGGTACTTTGGGGCCAAAGTATATACTATTTGGGTACATGGACCCTTAGGGTAACATGACGAAACTTTCCTCAAGTGTGCCCTCGTGGCCCCAGAAGCGACTGCATTTCTAGAAGAGCTTCCATGCCAGGTTCTTCGCATCTGTCTTGGTTATGACGGTGGCCACGGTCATCATTCTGGCATTAAGTTCCTTGTTCTCGCTGCTGCGCCTGGGATTTGCCAAGCGTAGAGCTCACAGGCTGTAGACTTTATGCTAGAGTGTACCCAAGTTCAAGTTCCGGAGTCAGGTCTAAGCCACTCCATTTCCCGCTTGGTGCGCTTACTTCGACCTGTTTCTGAACCGCTCCTGGAATCTCCCCGACATGGCTTCAGGCAGTTTGGTGTCCTGTCCGCTTGTTTTACTTTGGGGCTGTTAGCCTGTCTTCCGTCCTCCTTCGTAGTGCTGCGGAAACTGCACAAGCCCCGTGTAAAGAAGATCGGCAGCGTGCACAACAACAGCATCGTCACTGGAGAGGTCTTCGCGGACACATGAAGGGCAATAAGCCAGGTTTCTTCGAGCATGAACGAGTTCGGGCGATTGAGCAACTATGCATAACTTGAGTGGGCCGCTATAATTACTAATGACAGCAAAGGCCACGAGTTAACATGTACTGAACAACCGATTAAGTTCAGGCTAGATTACAGAGGAAACTAGGAATCGTAAAGTCGTAAAGGAATGCCCGTCTTCTGGTTCTCTTCCTGGTTTCCTTGCATCCCAACCTTGCCCTAAGTTGAGACCCTAAGCCGAATCCCAGCCAAGCCTTAATTCTAGCCGAAGTCCTAAGCTCGTCCTAAGCTGGTCCTAAGCCCAAACGCACTAAACCCAGAACCCTCAGCCCTCAACAGCGAGGATCCACGATTATGTCAGCAACTCGACTGAGCTGGCATCTCTGGCGTGCGTCGGGTCGATGCTGCTGATCCCGGTGCTGGCGGGGCATTGGGCAGGGGCGCATATTCAGTCACAGTTCACTTTAAGATTGTATGATACAGTATAGTGTAATAGAATGTATACTACAATATACTTTGCTATGCTAGGGGCACAGTTGAAACTTCCGCAGGTCTCAGGTTCAAGTATATCCGAGAAGAGCCTGCAGGTGCCAGATCCATCTGAGACCACAGGGTTTAGGGCCAAGTTTAGGGCTTACTGGCTTTATTCAGGCTTACAGCTGGAGCTGAGAAGCAAACTGCGGACTCTAATCTGCTGGCGAGGCCCGTGGCAACCGAGATGCCTCCCTCGTGGACATTGCGGCCCTGCTGTCCGGATACGTGGCTCAAAGCCGGCACTGTCGTGTTGTGTTGCTTGCTGTTTTTTTGGCTATTCGCTGATTGCGGATATTCTGCATCTCTAGAAGTGTGAGGTTCATCCACTTGTTGTCACTCACGAATGTCTGACCTTTTTCAACCGCTTCGAGTCCTTGTAAACAATTGAAAGCGCAACGCTACGACTGATCAGGACCAGACGAAGCAAGAACACACGTGTGAGCTGTGCTCTTTTGAATTCCGGCTCGTGGACCTTTGGACCATGGGTGTTGCGAGCAAGAACCTCGCTGAGGCTCGTCATTGTTGATGGGCGTTATCGCGGCTATGCTCGGGCACTACAGCTGCTGGGATTGAACATGTATCTTGCGTTTCTGCCTAAAACCAAAACCTTTTTGTAAGCTCAAGATGTTTTCCTTTTACTTTCGGTTTTAAGGGCTCAGGCTGGAGATGCGAGTGACAGCGTTTCGAGATTGAGTTGCTAAGTTCTGGTTTGTGCCTCACGGCTTACGGTTGAGGCAATGGATCTCGATCGGTTTTGGGGCTAACACAGCCTGGAGCTGCTGCCCATGCATCGTGTTCCAGAGCTGACTCTTTCGCAAACCGTAAATACTGCCTAGACCCCATATCTTGGTTGCACGATTCGAGGCCCTCGACAGTTGTCCTGTCTTCGCTCAGGATGCCGTTTGTTTAGGCACCAAATCTAGCACGGCCCCTATTCATAAGCCTTCATACGCGGCGTCAGGGCTCGACGGTCAGCTCAGTACAGTGACAGCTTGGACGGACTGCTGCTGCTCATCCTCCTCCACCTCCTACTACGCTCTTACTCGAACTGCAACCGCTACTCCTAGTACTGCTACTACGGCGACTCCTGTACCACTGCTACCACTACTACGACTACCACCACCACCATTGCTGCTACTCCTACTCCTACTCCCGGTCTTGCTCCTGCTCCTGCTAATGCTGCCACCGCTACTGCTGCTACTGCTGCTGCTACTGCTGCTGCTGCCACTGCTGCTGCCGCTGCTGCTACTGCTGCTACTACTACTGCTGCGGCTGTTGCTACTGCTATCATGGCTGCAAATATCACTAGCTGTGACCATGATACTGACGGACTCCGCTGAACATGCAGATGACCAAGCATTCAACATTAGGAGTCTCGCTGCCCATGGCCTGACTTGTGTCAGGCATGCTGCTGCTTGCAGCTCTTTGCGTTCTTTGCGGTGTACCTCTGGCAGTGTGCCTTGGTTTGCTGCTCTGGTTCTTTAAGAATGTTGTCTTGCAGCTTGCTTGTGGCGACAGTCTTATATAATACCGAGTCTAGAGCTGACCTGAGGCCTGTACTACCATCCTTCATGATTGTTGGTGTTAGGATGAAGACAGGGCAGGTCGGAGTTTGCTCTGTGAAGCATTCGGAAGAACGACTGATTACTCACACTCCCAAAAGAACTTCCGTCTGGATGGCTGGGATGGGAGACATGGGTTAGTTGCTTCAGGTGCCTCATCGTAATGGAGAGTCCCTGGTATTCGTCAGCTCTAGTCATGATTCGTTGCGAATTACACAACTGGCGGAAGTGAATTATAATTGTCTTGCGAGTCGTGAGCGTTCTGGAGACGGAGCTATGTCCTGCTAGATCTCACAGATCATGCGCTGTGTTTGTGCTGCCGCCTGGCGAGAGCTCGCAGCATACGGAGGTGTTACACAGCAGGTCTAAAATGAAGACTTATGGCTTTCTGTTTGCAAGCTTGTCGATTGTTCAGGTGCTGGTGGAGTATGTGCATGATTTTTCCGGACTGGATGCGGGCGCTTCGGTTGCAAGTTGCTTTCCACATGTCAGCTGAAGCAACCTGTAATCCAATGCGTTACATTACGTCAGCATCCTGAAAGTAGAGCCACCCATAACAGCCGCACGCCCGTAACCCATAGTCATCCAAACCCTACATCCCAGACCCTCAACTCCCACCGCTCCGAAACTTGAGATCCGAAAGTCTTGCTATGGGGGCCTTGATGATTATTTATACTAGTTTGGGGGTTTTTACATTCAAATATAATGGGCCCCCAAAACTCCATTCTAATTATCAAGGCCCCTATCTTATAGTACCCTTGTAGATCCTTTATAGGTAAGAGCCCTTTAAAGGGAAGCCTATTCTAATTTTGCAGGCCTGCACCCCCCAACCTCTTCCAGGAGCTCTGCGTGGATCTTTGGTCTCAACCGTGGCGGAATGCAGCTGCGGAGCCATTGTTGGCCACAGAGCCCGTGCCGGAACCCGAAAAGGCAGGACACTGAATATAGGGGCTTTGCTATAATTAGCTGGTTTCAAGCAGAAGGTGTTGGGGAATGCCAACAAGTATACCGATGAGGAATCCTAGGTAATCAGAATTGGCAACTATTGAGACCCCTGTATTCGGAATTGGGGCTTGTGGTCTTTTAGCGTTCAGGGTTCAGCATAGAAGCCGGAATACATATCAACGTGAGTCCTTTGGGCCTCTTGCTTTACGATACCATAATATACCCCGAAACCCCATTCTAACTATCAAGGCCCCTATACCAAAGAACCCTGATTTTGAGCCGGTATAGCAACCTGAAATTAAAAGGACCTCTCCATGGAAGCCTCTTCTGATTGATATCATCAGAACAATCCGTATAGTAGCTCTTAAAATGGCGCCCAAAAAAGGATCCCTTCAAGGAACGCTGTGCTACTTCTTGGCGATTTTGCTCAGATCTCGAGCACGGAGTTGGTAGGATTTAACGACCTAGGGGGTATCGCAGAAGGCTACGGCTAGGGTAGTTCAGGGTTAGGCGGGCTTTTGGGTGTTGGGCCAGTTCCGTGTTGGTTTCCGAAGGTTCGGCACTGGTGTGACCCTCGACTAGGCGCCCAAGACACGGAAGCATTAAGATTTAGTTCTTCAGGTGACACTGCCGACTGAGCTGCACCTCTAAACCAAAGGTGAGCTACCCTGAAATTAAGTAAGAAAGCCGCTGGTTCTCAGACGGAGCTTATCGAATGTCAGAGTTGTTGCGTTGTATAGCTTCTCGATCTGCGCTCAAGGTAACATGGGACTATAGTAGCCACAGACATATACTACAATACACTTCACAAGCCCTAGTTCAGTTATAACTATTCAATGCCCCTATATTTTGAGTGCTACTTTCGAAAGCTGCCAAGCTAAGCTTGTATACGGGAAGGTGATAGGTTTGGGGATTCGGGATCGTACTGACCGCACTAGCATCCGTAATGGCATGTTTTTAAAGGCACGCATCGTTTCGTCGGTTCTGGGTTTGTGTAGTTAGAGACGCCTTCTTCTCGTCGAGGTGGATGCGGCCCAATATCTCAGAGCTTCTGTTGCCCGAAGTTGTTCAATGTCGTCAGACATCCGTAAGCGCAAGACTTAGAAATCCCCGAAATCCTGATTCCCATATTCTGCAGTGGCTGTGGCCGTTCAGATCTCTGCCTCGCTTCAGGAGTATCTGCCGCTTTACCAGGCAGGACTAACAGCCCGTTGGATCCCTGTAAGCCACGATCATGAACCATTTAAACCTTGAACTCATCAGCATGAGATCATCAGCAGGCTTGTAGTTTTGCTTGATGATTCCGACCTATCTTGGCAAGATGCATACGCCAAATGGTGAAGCCAAGAACTCCAAAAGCTTGCTGTAACAGCCCTACAGCCCCCAAGGCGTAATGAAAGCTTAAACCCCCAGCACACGAGTCTCAACGCCAGGTTCCGGACCTGGAGAGCTTGATGGAGGCCTTTTTCCTGCGCTGCTACCTCGCTGGAAGAGAGCCTTCATTCAAGCATTCCGCTACAGGGATCCAGTTGCCTGAATACTGGGTTATTGGATAACATAAATCCCTAAGCCCCAAGCCCTAAACCCTGCAAAAAACAAGACCTAGCAGGACTCGTAACCTGCGGGTTTAAGTAGTTGGAGCCCTGGGATTCTGTTGCGGTTGAGGGCTAAGGGCTTGCAAGTCTTAGAGGGGTTCGGGCTACGAAGCAAGAGCAGCAGCTGAGCAGCTTTTTTTAAAGTACTATCTCTTCAACGAGAGTTTCAAAAAGCTGGGGCCCTTCATCTAGACCCTTAAGAAAAGCGGCCTCCAAACCTTAAGCCCGAATCAAGCCCTAAAGTTTCAAAGAAGCTCCAAATCAGGAGCTCATGAAGCGAGACGAGCTCTGGCTGACGAGGGAAGACCTGGATCCTTCGCAAGTGCTATGGTGGTGTTGTAGGCTGTGGTTTACGGTTTAGAGGTTTAGGGTTCATAAATCTTAGGGGTTCAGGGTTAGGGGATTAAAGCTTTAGGAGTTTTGGGATGCAGGGTTTAGGAGTTGCATAAAGGCTCTAAGGGGTTTGCTGGTTCAGGGGTCGGGGTTCCGGGGCTCAGGAGTGAGGGTGTCGAGGGATCGAAAATTTCTAGGGTTCAGGGTTTGGGGTTGAAGTTCCTTTCAGCCATCTTGGTACACGCCGGATCACAGCAGATTACTAGAGTGCAGCAGATCTTCAGGAAGAAGACAAGCACCTCGAATGCGGTGGTCCTAAGCCTACACCTGCAAGGGGCAGCATTCAGATGCGGCTGCCCGAAACGCTTAGCGACTCGTGTTATTCTTTGTTTAGGTTGTGTTTGTGGTCTAAGAGCTTTTCTAAATTAAACTTCGCTGTGTGTCAGTCAGGGGCCTTGTTCGAAGATGTTCCCAAACCTTCATTGGCTTGACACATGGTTCTTCGGCAAGGATTCGGAAAGAAAGGGATGCTACACCTTGTCAAGGAACTCTGAGTTTCCAATGCTTCGCCTTTTGCCTTTTTTTCTGGTATCTGCGGGTATGACGAACATCACAGCTATGCAACGGCGGTGGCTCTTCTGCAGACTCGTGCGAAGCTACCACAGTCGCTGAGATGTCGGAAGCTAGTTAGTGTTGTGACTCGTGGCAACCTGCCGGTGTTGAGGCCATATATGTCAGCTTTCGGATATAGCTGCAGGAAGTCATGTGCTAGGTGTGCAGGTATGGGTAGATGGCCCATTCTTAGAAAGAAGCTGCATGTGAAAACTGCGGTGGTAGTGAAAGTTGTCGTCACTACTTCTTACAACTCCTGCTGGAACGACGAGGCGGGGACGACGACCACCAGCACGGCCAGAGCCAGAGCCACCACCACCACCACACCACTACCAACACCACCACTGCCACCACCAGATAGGTCATCAAGGAGCGGTCTTTGTACCGCCGCCGTGCTGAGAGTTAAACCTGCATCATTGCGAAGATGAGCCGAGGAAGAGATGATGCCTGGTGTAGTCGTGGGGCTGCCCGCGGTTGCCTTGCTCCAGATCGTCCAGGAAGCTCTGGCCATGTTCAGGAAGTTGTTACTCTGTGCTTCTAGTGTTTTGTTGTAGTGGTGCTCTCACAACTTGTTCTCTTAACAATACAGAGTTTGGATTTTTTTTCTGAATTACTCGCCGTTTTGAAGGAGTCGTAAAACATCGCTCTTACCCCTGGAGCAGGTCCTCTGTACTTGTATGTTGTTCATGGAGGAGGAAGTACCAGACTCCACAGTGACCACCTGCGATGTCAGTTCTTGTCTTGAAGCACCTTCAGCATAGTGTGTATGTATGCTGTATGTGTGTGTGCGCATGTATGTATGTTCACTTACTTCCTTACCTACTTACTTGCTTACTTACTTATGCATACATGCACGTATGCAGGCAGATGTGTCGGCAGGATGGCAGTCAGATTGATTAGGGCTTCAGCAGGTAGGGACAGGTAGTGCATGCATAATATAGCATAAGACACAAAATAGTATAAGACACTAGAATATACCATAATATACTGTACTAGTTTATAATCTAATACAGCTCCGGCTTAGGCGGCCTTGCCCCCATTCCGCAAAGGAATCACTGGAGTTCGGCTGCACGGAAGGCTTCCGATTGTCTGAGGGCCTCGCAGTGACGGCACCTTGATGGCCGATAATTTGTACTACGAGGCTTTCATTTCAGTAGTAGATGGCTGTTCCTGGTTTGAAAGTAAGTAATGGTTGCTGTTCAATCCAGTTACTCTGCATTCAACTCTGCATTCAGGCTGATTGAGGCCGCTGTACAGTGTTTCTTTGGCTTGAACCAAAGCTGAATAATTCGGAGTTTGCGAAAATGCGGACCTGTTGGCAGCCTACTCCTCGGAAGGATTCCTTGCTCTGAGGATCACAACCGACCTGCTGTGCGTGGTGCGGCTGAAGCATACAGAGACTCGTCACAAACATAAGCCTGGGGCGTCAAGGCACTGTTGTTCGGTAGGATGCGCAGACATCAGACATCTCTTTCATGTGAGGCTCTGTAAGATCGTTCATGTGAGACTCTGTAAGATTGAGATGTCTGTGCACGTCAATTCCGGGAGTTGTAGAATGCTTCGGTACACTCTCCTGTCTTCCAACTAACCTTCCCGTGATGTCTACATTCCTGTGAGAGAGGCACCTACTGATGAGTGGTCTTAGGGTCTTTTGAAAACTGTGAATTTCCCTGCACACCCTTCGCTATCGGAACAATACTGAACTGCCTTGGGTTCAGGGTTTAGGGTTTGGGGTCTTCCTAGAATGGTATACCCTAAACCCTAAACCCTACAAACCCTAAACCCTAAACGGCCGCATCCCGGCTTCGTATGTGCGAGAAAAGACCAATCCAAGGATGGGCTCTCGAGGCCAAGAAGGCCTGCAGCCTGCAATCCCAATATGGAAGCCTTAAGAATTAGGGCTTGGGGTTTAGGGCTCAGGGTTTAGGGTTTAGGGCTCAGGGTTTAGGGTTTATGGTTTTAGGGTTTAGGGCTTAGGGTTTAGGGCTCAGGGTCTTGAGGGTGGTTGTCAAAATTAAGATCCCTTTTTGGGTCCGTATTGTAATACGGCACCTAATGTTTAGGGTACCCAAAAAGGGACCAGAATTTCGACAACCACCCATGTAGAAGCCTTAAGAATTACTAGTTCTGTATACTATGTAGGGGTTCCTCATTGTAACTAGCTACAACATACACCAAGACCTTTTTCCAACGATCAAGGCCCTGAACACCCTATGCCATACCTTAACCCCGAATAACCCACTTTTTTAGGGGCTTGTATAAGGGCATCATAACAGGGAACCCCTAGAAGGGTAGGTTTTTTGGGGTCCAGGTAAACACTAGACCCCAGTACGCGTGAACGAACATCTGGGGCTCTTCGGAATCGGCTTCCACAGCGCCAGAAACGCATGCATGCAAACCGAGGCGTCAACGTTCCACCGATGGCCCGATACCTTATAAAACCCTAAACCCTAAACCCCTCAACCCTCAACCCTAACCCTCGTCAGCATAACTGCATCATAAATCCTGTTCAAGGCCCTAGTTCCGGGTGCTTGTTCAGACTTCAAGATATGGGGACTTCTTGTTTGGACCCGAGCTCCGGGTTCAGGCTTCAATTTGTTTACCTGGCAGGCCCTGGCAGAGTTACGTCCGGAGATGGCAGAATCACTCTTTATCGAGGCGAGGGTGTGGCCTGGGTTGCAAGAAGACGGTTTAGGGTTTAGGGGCTTGCGGTTTTGGGCTATACCGAACTCCGAATCATGGCCAAAACGGGACTATAGAGTTTTTTCTCATAATGCTAGACGCCCAACCTAGTATGCCTTGCCTCGACGCCCTGTCTCTGAGGCTCTGGGAGGACACGGAGGCCCCAGCATCGTCCTCCTTTAAGGAGGGGATCAAGGCGCGAGGAATCGGAAGGGTTTCTAAGGTGGGGTGCTAGGTTTAGGGGTTCCATGGTGCAGCGATGTTTGGCATTTCAGGCCGGGGGTTTTCATGTGTCTTTGGCTGTCCTGGAAGGGCCTAGGCTTGCGGCGTCTCAGAATCAATCGCTTTTCCAGCTACCTTTTCAATGGCTGTTGCTAACAACATGTTACGTTTGGAGCAGGCTTTTGGGAGTCGAGTCTGCTTAGCGGCAGTACTTAGTGGTCTGGCTTCTTACTCGAGGTCCTGGGTCGCACACTCGCTGCATGACCGTTGATGCTGGGCGATAGCGTCCGTAGCGTTGTGAAGCATGTCGAAGATCGGCATGTCATTGGGCTGTCATGCTACAATAATATTTTTATTCGATATACTGTAACATACTACATACAGCAAATATACTATAGCCTACTAGAATATATCATACTATACCATAGTCTTAGGATGCGGGACAAGGCTTGTGGCGGTGATGCCACAATGTCCTTGACAGCTAGGAATCAGGCTGTTCATCAGCGCTTACTCTGCTGCTTTTGCCCGAGGGGTCCAGGTAGTCTAGTCAGCATCATAGTATAGCATAGTATAGTATAGCATAGTATAGCGTAGTATATGCTTTGGGACCGAAATATCCAGTAGCTACTATATTGTTACTTGGACCCTTTGGGCAACATCATCGGCAAATTACAAGCCCTGTTTCGATCCACACGCCGGCTGCCTGTTGGCCTCCACAGGTCGCCGCGCGCAGTGATATTCGACGGAGGACGCCGTGCTCTTGGGGTTTGAAGGTTCGGGGTTTGGGGTTGGGGGACAAGGGTGCTGTTTTTTTCCATGATGGCCTTAGAGTGGCTGGGCCGGCTCGTTGCCGCATGGCTAAGATAGCGCTGTTTTCCACAAGATTTGTTGGGCTCTGGCCCGGTCGTGGTTCTTCGTCATCGGAACACAGGCAATTAGGTTCGATACTCTCATACCATTGCAGGTTCGGGAGATGCTCCGCCATAGCAGATACTCTCATTTCACTCATAAAAGAACCCCTTCAAATATCCTCCAAGCCGACCCCGGTCCACTCTGGACTGCCTTCACTGCCTTCTTGTCCTAAAGAAATTCGAAAGCAGCGGTCATCCTTGGTACGGAAAAGTGGGCCAATAGAAAGCAATGCAGCTCACCGCCTTCCATGATTTGCAGCACACTGACATCTTCACCTTGACCATCATCGCCTCCTCAATTGCTCAACAGGCTATGCTTCCAAGGCTTACCTATCCTTGCTGCTGGACTCTACGTGGTCCCTTGATGTTCGAACACTCTTGCTTCCTGTCGCAGCGGTCTTCAGTGACACTCCCGGGCTTTATTCCGACCTTCTTCCACACCTGGAATGTTCAATCTTCAAAGAACAGATGGACAGATGATGGCTCTGCATGAAGTCGCTTCAGTTGTGCATAGCTAACAAAACCGTCAACCCTCATGGGGTTGAAGGCTTAGTCAAAGTAGCAATACTTGGAGGATCATGGGACCCAGTAAGTCGGGCTACAAGTACCTTAACTTAACTGGGGTTTTGACTAATTATAACTATAGTTACCTTACTTATAACCCCAATTACTAAGTCCAATGATCCTTTAAGTAGAGAGGAGGCGGGGTTAGATATCAAAAGACCGCAAGCCTATGAGCTTGGAGCTGCCGAACTCTAGACCCACAAGCCCCAGACCTACACCTAAACCCGCCTACCCTAAGGCCCCAAAGTAGTTCCTTTTTGGGGTTCATATGTTGAATCCTATAAGGTAATCCCAAAAAGGAACTACGTTGGGGCCTGTGGGTAAATTCAGTCACAAAACCCTCAACCCTGTGCTGCAGGACCTCCCGGCTCATTGGCTTCCTGGGTCTCGGTCGAACTCTGCCTGCGGGACACACGGGCCACGTGCTACGTGGGGCCGCCCAATGAGGTCGCAGACTTGTCTTGAGGTTTCGGGTTGCGGACTTATAAACCCTAAACCAAACCCATATCCCTAAACTTTAAACCATAGAGAGTCTGTGTGGTTGGCAGACTGACACAAACTGACTTCACTCAGATGATACCGGCAGCATAAGCCTTGCAAGGATAGCGCTGTCGTGTGGTGAAAAAGGTTTCCGTTGAACTTTGGACCGCAGTATGCGCAAAGCCACACGACTCATAAACGCGAAACGCCTGAATCCTGTCTTTGCTTGGCCATGGGTGTGTGGAAGTACCGTGCGGCAGCTGGAGACTTTATCCGGTCGAGATCTCGATGCACGTAAAATGTTGAACCAGGGCTTCGGAATGAAGCAATGACGCCTGGTCGTGCCTCACTTGACATGTCTTTGCCTCTCATGACAGGCACATTCTGCATCGAAAAGGATCAGGTAACTGAGGCACCAGGGATCAAACGGCGAATGTTCGTTTCTGTAACCGTTCTCCTTGTTGACACCAAGACCCTTCAACCACATCCGCACATACATACTAAGCCACACATGTGGAGACCATTTCACGCAGTTCGTCTGGTTGTTTTGACGTTGCTAGGTTCTTGGCTTGGACGGATGTTCAGCTGAACGTAGCTGGTTTTTCAAAGGAGACGGGCGCAGTGGGGTGTCTATGCTGTAGCTTACTTATGCAAGGCACTGTCGGTTGCATATGAGTTGGCTTGATGACAGCCGCGATCATCATGATGCCGCTGCTCGGGTCGTGGTCGTTACTTGCGATGTCGACGATGAGGGGAGCAACACAATACATGGCTTCTAGGATGACAATGGTGACGGTTGTGTTGATACTGTGGGTTACGGTGCAGATGGGGAGATTGCTGAAGAAGCGAAAAGATCAAGGTGTCATGATGCTGTTGTGGACTATCGTGCAGGAGTTCTTGGCAATCATGACGACGGCAATGGCTGTGCTGATTCCGATGACGATGATGATCGCTGCGTTCTTCAAGATGGTTCTGGCGTAGATTCCAGCACCAGTGGCCTGTCAATATCGTGATTGTGCTCAAGCACACAATGCTGATCATTTAGCTACTGCGCTGCTGCGGACGGAGGGCGTGACCATTATAGTAGATCCGTTGTCAACTTCAGAACCACTGCGATTATACATATATATATATATATATATAGATGAGGTGACGGTGGAGATGAGAATGACGATGTTAGCTTTGCTCGGCAACTGCAGCACCTTTGATCTGCTGCTGTTCTTGTTGTCGCCAACGATCGATGGCCTTCGCTCAGGTGTTCTGGCTCCTAGCGTCGTCGAAGTGCAGTGGGACGGCAGCGATGCCGTTTGCAGCCGACATAGCATCCGCGAAGCTAGGCTTTATTGTAATGGACAGTTTCTTCTAGCATAGTATTGCATTGTTTGGTTTTGATGTGTCTTGTCCTGTACTGTTTGAGAATTGAGGGCAGCCTGATCCGAGTTTGTTGCTTCGAGCTCCTCAGGGCTAGCATCAGGTTTGTAAGGCTGGCGGTGCTTTCGGCAGAAAGGTCACATGTTGAGGCAGCAACGACTACAGGACTGTTACGCCACCAACTGCTGTCCGGGACAGTTGGGGTTTTGATAATTTGCGCTCAAGTTAACAGATATTACAGTACCCCCCCTTTGCAGTCCGTATGCCCAAATCCCATAGATCCTGTGGCCCATTGGAGAAACCGGTCTTGCCTGTTTCTGCTGGGGATTATGCCGAAAGGGGCACACTTTAGTGCTTATAGGGTTTAGGGATCATTGAACGCAAGCAGCGCTACTTCGGGTTTAAAGTGTAGGGTAAGCTGACTACAGAACAGAAGCACAGCAAAGCGACGCAAGCAACGGTAGAAGACAGCCATGACAGCAAGGATGCTGGTGCGGCCCTGAGCCCAATGACGGGAAAAGCCCAATGCAGGATTTCCTGTATTTTTGGCTCCTCTGCTTTCTGGCAATTCGGGCAATTAGGGGAAGAGAAAGCAAAATGACCAACAGAAACAAGCCAAGCAGAAGTCCCAATTCCTGAACCCTCCTTAGCTCCTGAACGACTTCAGGACTTAGCGTTGGAAGAGTCTTCACCAAGACAGCTGAAGGCACGGGCGGATATGATTCAGTCTTGGCTTTGCAACCTCCGAGATCCAGGGCTTTCGCGTTTCGAGGGTAGAAGAGGTTAAGGGAAGAGGTATGTAGAGGTTTTCGGCCCAGGGTTGAAGTCTTTCAGGTGGTGCGTTGGAATCTGTGGAAATTGGAATTGTGATTTTTCCTAGATTTCTGGTCTAGTGCGGAGAGTCAGTTTGGGATTTCGGATTTCTTGTATACTTACAGTCGTGTAGTCAACTCAGACCCAGAAGCACAGCAGTGAGCAAACTTTCGGAGTGGGCTGCTGACTCCTACGTTGACATCCCTGGACCCTAACACCCCGACAAACCCTAAACCCTAAACCCTAATTTCAAAATTTGGTTTCGATCCGTTCACCGCATACCTCGACTCGGAGTAACCTACCTTTGTCCTTGAACGAGGCCGCTGCGAGAGGCGAACCCATGGACGCACAGCGCAGGCAACTTGCAGTGCCTTGGCTCGTTCTGTCGGTATGGGTGTCTGAAGAAGCAGCAACAGTGTCCCCTTATATTAGTCAGCACAGGGTGTGAGTTGTTCATATTAGGTTTTGTGTCGGCGTTTTGTTAGAGTCAACGTCTCCGAGAGTTGTCTCACCCTACGAAGACAACTGATTTGCAGTAAGCATACTTGGAGGATCATGGGACTTAGTAAGCACGTAGGGTTACAAGTGCCCTAATGGCGGTTATGAGTGAGAAAACTGTAGTTACCTTACTTATAACCCCGTTTACGAAGTCCCATGACCCTTTAAGTACACCTCTCCGAGCTTTGAGGTCCAAGCGGCTGGACGCCTTCGCTCTGTTGCACTGTTTTTCACGCGGATGCCCTTCTTTCAGCAGCCACTTGGCCAACGCCGTCCTGTGAATTCATTGCCTCATGGGCGAGGAGCAAAGGTCACGTTCGTCGTCGTCGTCGTAGTAGTAGTAGTAGTAGTAGTCGTAGTCGTAGTCGTAGTCGTAGTCGTAGTAGTAGTAGTAGTAGTAGTAGTAGTAGTAGTAGTAGTAGTAGTAGTAGTAGTAGTATTAGTAGTAGTAGTAGTAGTATTAGTAGTAGTAGTAGTAGTAGTAGTAGTAGTAGTATAGTAGTAGTAGTAGTAGTAGTAGTAGTAGTAGTAGTAGTAGTAGTAGTAGTAGTAGTAGTAGTAGTAGTAGTAGTAGTAGTAGTAGTCGTAGTAGTCGTAGCAGTCGTAGTAGTCGTAGTAGTAGTCGTCGTCGTCGTAGTAGTAGTAGCAGTAGTTTAGTAGTAGTCGTCGTCGTCGTAGGATCAGTCAAGATGAGAATATACTGGCTGAAATAGCTTGTCTCACTCAGTCGGCACCACTCAATCACTCTTTGGCCGGACGAGGGGATGGCGTGTCAGTGGTTGTGAGATCCCGAAAAGCTTGGGAGTGCAACTCAAGGCCTGGACAGTATGTTTGAGAACGGAGTTCAGACAGTGGCACCAAGATCCTGTGGCAGGACCTGCCTGTGCAGAGTCTTAATCAGGGAGCTCAGTGCCAGCGCTTGCCCAGATTGTTGGTTCCCGTACTCTGCATGTGAAGCCAAGAGTGCTGTTGCTGTCATATAGGGGCCTTAACAAGCTGAATAGGGTTTTGGGGCCCATTGTACTATAGTTATAACAAGGAACCCCCAAAATACGGTTCCGGTTGATGATATAAATCCTGCATTACCCATAATAAGGAATATCACACATTTCTCACAGTTTAGGGTCTTTAAGGTAATGCAGGATTTCTATTATATCATCAACAGTAGTATAGGCAATTATCAGTACGGCTCCTACATTCATCTTGTTCTCGGGCTGCTAAGCCAAGCTCGGCATCGAACTTCGAACTTCGAAGCCCGAGCTCGAGATGTTCAATATAGGGGTCTAAACAATTACCCATACTTTTTTTTGGGGGTTCCTTATTGTAGTTATAGTATAATGGGCCTAAACAACTACCAATACTATTTGTTTTTTTTTTTTTTGGGGGGGGTGGGTTCCTTATTAAAGTTATCGTATACGGCACCCCCAAACCTCTTCAAAATTTATGAAGGCCCCTACATTAGTGATCCGGATGCTGTAGTCGCGGTTTCGACGACAGCGACAGTGAGTCCTAGGATCCATGCTTAGTTCCTGGCTACTGTCGCTGTCGCCACTATATAATGTCCTGACCACAGTCCCCAGTGCTGCAAGTGCACGTGTTGTAGAATATGTGTCATGATTCATCTTCCCATGACTATCAATCAATTCCGCCTGTGCATGACTATCAATACCTGTGCGCATAGGGGGCCGACTTGCCAGACGCAAATCAGGGGTCATCTGTCCTGAGGCATTTCCGCACCAAAGTAGTCGAGCCGCTTATCCGAGGCCGGGCATCTGTTTAAGGTGGCTGACAGGGTTAGTGCCATGGATTTACATGTATACATGTACAAACTTGGGCCCTGAATTTCCATATGTGGCAACTCAACAAAATGAAAGTGCCTGAGCACCTTGAGCTTGTGGAGGTGTGGCGTGTTTGCAGCTGTGAGGTACGCGTCAACCCCGAGCTATCTCAGAAGTCCCTAGACCTTATAGAAACCGCTCAACTCTAAACCCTGCAACCTACACCCTATTTTGTAATGTCCCTTTCATGTAGTAGACACATCTAATGTTAAGCCCGCAAAGCCTAGATTCTTGCGAACGAGGCCTCGGGCCTTGTCAGCGAATTTTCGGGGTGAGGTGACATGTTATATTTTTGGGGGGTTTAGGGGTGTATACGGCTTTGTGGGGACGGAGATCGTCTATGTCTTTCGGGCTTGGGGGTCTATGGGGCATATGGCCGGCTGAGGGTGGTATCCATGACTCTGCTGTTTTACAGAACCCGCCATGGTGAATCCGAAGCGAGATTTGCATAAGCATATGTTTGAAGTGTACTTCTATACATAGTTGTCAAAGCGTTCACACAGCAGCACACCCCGGAGTTTCAAAAGAGGACACGACACCTTCTTGACTGGAGGTGCGTCGCCGGCAGCTTTCATGCAGGTTAGTTCTGGCTTGAACAGTTCTGTGTGTTTCAGGGATGAGGGATTGGAGGGGTAGTTTCTGAAGTTTCTTTTCGTGATGGGAGCTGTAAGAGTTATCCTGGCCGTGCTTACAAGCACTACTCTGATGGCGGTGGCTTGCGCTTTGGTCGGTATTGCTATTGTGCAATACAGCGGTACTGCCTGTGTTTCATGGTGCAGTTGCGTTTCATGATACAGCTTAGCCTTGTTGCCACACATATCACTTTAGTATTGTAATAGTCTTGTGCATTCTCTCTGCTTCGTTTCTGAAGTGCTACAGTAGCATCGTCCCTGCCCTCGTTGCCTCAATGGGCTGATCATGTGAGATTGTTTTCCTGAGTGTGGGCCGTCATCGTCAAAGTCATCAGCATAATGAACCATCATCGTTTTCAGTTTTGTCGTCGTCGTCACAGCTGCAATCCTCATCCTTACACTCACTACCATTAGCATCGCAATCAGCACCGACATCCGTAACAGCTTCACTACCGGCACGGTCGCCACTGTCAATACCGTTATTGTCAGCGCCCCCTGCCGCCATCACCACGACCACCACCACCAGCACCACCAGTACGACAACCACCGTCACCAGCATCGTCATCTTTATTATCGCCAGAAACTCCACTGGTCACAATAGGTATACTGTGCTAGTAATCACAGCTTGAAGCCCAGATACCACATCTTCAGCACTTGTGCTATGTATTGGATGTCTCCTGCTAAAAAGCTGTTCGCAGATTTGCTCCAACAAGGGCGGCTGCCACATCAATTGCACGAGCTCCAGCGAGTAAGCTGTAGTTACACCGAAGATTGGGCTCTCGAACCAGGCAAGGCCGCCACCATCGCTGCACCTGGGCATTCCAGAAACAGACCTTACTGTGGCGTATTCACGGCTTCGAGCTCATGTGGACATAAACTTAAATATGAATACCATACATATATATATATATATATATATGTATGTGTATATAATATACACATACATACACACATACATACATACATACATACATACAGTTATGCATACATCTATCTTTGTACATATGGTTTTCGTAACATGATTTTCCTTTGTTGGTGGGAGCCGCGGGCTGGTTCTTGAGGAGCTTGGGTTCAGAAGAAGGGGCAAACAGGGAAGCTGGCCTTCCATGTTTTTCGTAAGCCTCACCTGGTGGATGCGATTCCTTATTCAGCTGTAGCCCTTTGGGTGGGGTTTAGTTTAGGGCTTGGGGGTTTGCGGGTTGGGGTGTGAGAGGGATGTGGTCAACTATTGTGGAGCCAATGGAAGCTGGTCGTAGTGCCTCTTCCCCAGTTTTGCCTACAGTCCTCCAGCCCGGCTGCCCATGCTCAAGATGCGCGTTCACTGTGGTTGTCTGCACGGCATCTGTTGGAGCGATGCATTGACGCTTTACTCTCGGCTCTGGGATATTTGTGGTTGCCGTTGCTTGAGAGCTTAGGAGTCGCGTGACCCAGTCTTTGGTCGCCGCAGCAGCCTGTGACTTGACTCACAGCCTTCAGCTTGCTTCACACAGAGAGCCGAATCTTTTTAATTCCAAGGTCCCAAGGTCTTTTATAATGATGGCACAAGGAAAAAGCGTCTTGATGCTCGTCTAGCCAGGTAGACGAGATCCATGCAGCCACGCCCCTAAAAACCTGCTCGTGCCATCCAAGATGCATGTGACCAAGGCGAAATCGCGCGGCTGCGCACAGGCGACGAGTAGCTTGCAAGCGCCGTCAACCAGGCCGGGGGCAGAGCTTCTAGAAACAGGAGCTGGTCTGTGGCCTTTACAGTCTTTGCGATTCAGTTGTCCACTTGTCGTGACAAAGGTTTCAGCCAGCCTAGTTGGTACTCTCCTGGTGCTGAGCTTGGCTCCGAGCTGTCAGGTCGTTACATGTGTCTGAGATGAGTACATCGCCGAAGATGTGAGCACTGGCGCAAGCTGCGCTCCAAAATCGCGCAGACACAAGTCATTAACCAAAGTTACCATGTACGTATATTTCTCTCTCTATCTCTCTCCCTCTCTTGTTCTCTCTTTCTCTCTCTCTCTCTCTCTCTCTCTCTCTCTCTCTCTCTCTCTCTCTCTCTCTCTCTCTCTCTCTCTCTCTCTCTCTCTCTCTCTCTCTCTCTCTCTCTCTCTCTCTCTCTCTCTCTCTCTATCTATGTATCTACTCAGCCATCTGTTCGTCCATCTATCCAAATCCCTACCCATACCCAAATCCCTAGCAAATGATGTGCATACATATGTTACATACGTGTACAAACATCTATGTATATACGAAATATAGCGGTCGATCGATCGGTCTGCCGAACCATCTATCTTTGTCTGCCTAGCTATCGATCTATATGTCCGTCTATCTCGCTCTCTCTCTCTCTCTCTCTCTCTCTCTCTCTCTCTCTCTCTCTCTCTCTCTCTCTCTCCCTCTCTCTCTCTCTCTCTCTCTCTCTCTCTCTCTCTCTATCTGCCCATGCATTTGCAGCTATGCAGTACCCAAACACACAGGCACGTCTTTGCGCATGAGTGGAACTTTTCACCATCTATTGCCCGTGGCTCAAGCATGGCACCACGAAGGCAGACCAAGCATGCGCCTGCTTGCATCATACAAGCCGTTTGAAGAGCTGCTTGCCACTCGTAGAAAGCGCATGTGAGCGGACGCTGCAAACCGCGTTTTGTGTGTGTGTGTGTGTGTGTTTATATGTGGAAATGCAGCTGCCCGCTACCCCTTCGGTCGCCGTCTGTATGGAACACGAAAAGTCCAGGTGCGGATGATTTCAAGAGCCCGGGGGACCTCCCAGAACCTCAAAGCGGAAGTTGACATTAAGGTGTTTTCGTTGGGTCTGCGGGGCTTTTCTCCAAGGCTTATCCGCAGTCCCCGAGCTTTAGGCAGTGAGAAACCATCGTTTGCACCAGGGTTCCTGCAACTGTTAACGTTTAGCTGCATGCTGGCATGCAGAGTCACCGCCCACCTGGTGCTCTGGCAAGGATACTTGGAGGATCATGGGACTTAGTAAGTAGGGTTATAAGTACCTTAGTTGGGGCTATAAGTAATCATAACTGTAGTTACCTTACTTATAACCCCAAATTACTAAGTCCCATGATCCTTTAAGTAGACCCTAAACCCTTATAGTACCCCTATAGATCCCTTAAAGGGACCCCTTAAGGACCCCATGATCCTAAAAGATATCCGTGCCCAGCGCCGAGAGAAGGTCGCACTGATGCCTAAGCCGCTGAGGCCGAACGACACGGGGTTATTACCTTGCCCTAAGGGTCCATGTGCCCAAATAGTATATACTTTTGCCCCAAAGTACCTACAAAGGGGCCAAAGTATCTACTACTTGGGTACATGGACCCTTAGGGCCTATAGGGTTGTTTAGGGGTACTCATATTAAGGATCCTACTGTTCGGTTCAGGGTTTCTGAAACTCCCAATTCCATAAAACCATGGTTCCCGAAGCAGGTTTCGTATAACCTGAAAAGCCAGCCAGCACTAACTTGCTTTGCTTTAGGACCGCAGGGCTAGTTTTTCTCGGAGCTCCACTTAAAGGGAGCTCTTGCTACTTTTGGCCGGAGAAGTTAAGCCCCAAACTCCGCTAGACCCTGCATTTGCTCGTGTTGCATGCCTATTTACCGTCAGAGCCGGCTTGTTGCAAAGCAGCCTTGATCACCTTGCGTAAGGGTTATAAACTGTGCAAAGATAAAAATAAGTAAACAACTGCTTCTTTTTGATGTGGGTTATCTCTGTCCCTCCCTCTATCTGTATGCTTGTATCTGTCTATTTAATATTATAATTATATATATATATATATATGTACACACATTTTTTTAATCAACATACACATCAGGCTGGGTAGATCCTTCGCAGATCAGATCAAAATCAGGCTTGGCCTTGATCGGTGCGACCTCATCGCTTGCGACAGCTGAAATCGAAAAGTTGCTGAGGGTTTAGGGTTTAGGGGTTTAGGGTTTAGATGGGTTTAGGGTTTAGGGTTGAGGGTGTGCCAGCTGAAATGGAAGAAGTTGGGCCCATAACATCCGCACACTTGCTAGCGAATTAGCTGTTAACGGGATAGCGCAAAAGGGTGCGGGTTTAGAGTTTCAGGTTTGGTTTTCGAGATCCAGGGTTGTGGAACTGTTCCTCCACGCTCCGCTGCGTTAGTGAAGTTAGGGCATACCTTTTCACGTAAAGCTTATCGCATTTCTTGGCAGTCTAACAGCGGCCGTGACGCCGGCAGAATTGCTTGAGAACCTGTGCATGATGCCCTCTTGCCCTAAATCCCAAAATGAACCCTAAACCCAACATCCGTTCCCTTTCAGCAGACTTTCATGCAGTTCTTCTCACAGAGTGTCAGGACAATCCTCAAACATGATGTGGAGAGTCCCCGGCGGCCTACCTGATCTGGGATGCTTGGCAAGGCCTTAAGAGTTGACATATGAGTTTAAATGTGAAGACCGGAAATTGGAGAGAATTCGTTGCGTTGCTGTCTACTACGGTGAAAGCTGCATGGCAAGAAACAGTCGCTGGTGTTCATGCGCCGTGGAAGCTTTTGCTTCTCAGGTTGACCCGGCATATCGAACGGTGGTGTGTAGATGAAGTTGACATCAATAAAGATTGCAGAGCTGCGTGGATCCAAGACCGTCCAAGACCAGTGGTGAAAGCCTCTACCCTAAGGCCCTTGAGGGCCAGATGGATGGTAGTTCAACGCGCAGTAATATAGGGGCCTAAGTAATTCGAATATGGTCTTGGGGCCCATTATACTATACATATAATAAGGAACCACCCAAAATAGTATAGAGTATAGTTAACGCTCCTACTTTAGGCACGTGAACCTATTGGCGGCACCATCCGCGCAGTATAAGACCATGAAGTGGCGCTGGCCTGCCGCCTAGAGTCCTAGAGCTACGGTTAATGATATAAATCCTGCATGACCTGAGGGACCCGAAACTAACTAGGGGAATTATGGTATGTTTTCCTTATGGGTAATGCGGTATTGCAGGATTTTTATCATCAGCCGTATCTATGAACAGTCTCATGAGCAAATAATTATGTTAAGTGTCATGCCAACAGCTATTTCAATCAGATCCTCGCGTCGGGGCGCCTCCATGTATCGGATGTCAGACTTATTTTGCAGTTGACGGTGCTAGAATGCTTGTCGAAACAAGGTGTAGCTGAGCGGCAAGCTGTTTGTAGCTACAATCGCAAATGGCTCCTAGCTTGTCTTCTCAGAGATGCTCTGCTTGAATCCTATGGTGTGTCTTCAGCTGAGGAGCCAGCTTCGCAGGGGCTTCTTTGTCGTCCCACTTAACTTGTAGGAAACTCCAGAAAGTTGGAATATGGTTTCATGGTAGGATACCCTACAATTTACCATAGAAGGGTAAGGATAATCATTTTCCAACTTTCTGGCTTTTACGTTAAATGCATAGGCACAGGTTGCTGATGCACATTTCAAGAGCCAAAGCCGGAACACAGTGGCAAAAGCCCTTGTATTACCCCAGGGTTTTGACGCGCAAACGAGCACAAGAGACTCGTTGCGCCATGGCACGACCAAATCCCAGCGGGAGCATTTCGAGGACGGGAGTAAGTCCAAAGGCTATGAGCCCTAGGCACATGCTGCATGTGGTCCTGACATATCCGTGGTAAATCACCTCCTGTCCACCCACAAAGAAAAGTTCGAAGATCTGCATAACTGTAGCTAGGCTAGTTTTGTTGGGGTGACCATGACCTCAGAGTTGTTCGGCTTAAGTTCTGTTGTCGCTGAAGCCGTTGAGTGCTGTTTGGCCAATGGACATGGCACGAGCCGTTCGGTTGCATTCAAATCAAGCCTCACCCGTACATGACCCTATGACCTGCATTCTCTTGAAGCCTATAAGCCCCGAACTCAACTGGGAGTTTCCGAAAATAGGGGTACCTTATTTGGGGTCCTTACAAAAAGGATCCTACTATTTAGGGTACTAGATTAGAGTTCCCTATTCTCGGAAACTCCCAACTGTAGATGGATCGCTGCCTGCGAAGGATGGCATTTCTCTTCCTCGTGATCGCAGCTGCATCCGGTGTTGGACGTGCGCTGCCTCCAGAGGCATGCAGCAAAGAGGATGTGGCGTTCATGCAGATCCGTGAGACTAGTGCTGATGCACAAGGACCATGTGACTGTAACCCCGCAGACGGAGACAACAATGCGGAGTATGCATATCCTGTGGAGGATCCGAGTGCCTGCTTGTGTTCCAACTGGAACCCAAACCAGAGCAACACGTGCAATGCAGATTTCCAGCCCTGCTCCAAGCACCACGTCATCCCTGGAGCACCCTGGGGCCTGGTCTTCTTTGGGATGAGCATGTCACGGCAACACCCGGAGGTGCTTACATCGAACTTGAACAGTGTGACTCACCAAACCAAGTTTGACTTCAATCGGCTCCAAGATCGAGGTAACCAATACCTCTGCAAAAGCAACGACGACGGCTGGCTCACCGGTGGCGGCAACGGCCAGTCTTCCTTCATGCTGCCCAACATCGACTCGGGACACATGGAGTTTGTCCATCCAGGCACAACATGCGCCACTGTAGCACCAGCCTCTCAGGTGAAGCCTGAAGTGGCGAGTTACTTTCCGAACATTCCCAGGCTCATCACCGGAGCCTCCCTAGCTGAGTTGGTGGAGCGTGTTCGCTGGAAGGTGAAGTTCAATCAGATCCGCGTCGTACCTACGAATGGCCAGTTCACTGAGACGCAAGAGTATCAGCTGCGGTTTAACCCCTACGACTCTAGCGGCAACCTTGTGAATCCCACCATGACGGCCGTGTACAACAAGTTGGTGAATGAGTTCAAGGATATCCAGGTCCTGGACTATTCAGATCCTTTTCACATGTCCATGATCCGGCAGGTGTCGTTTTGCACTGCCAGCGCCCGGCGCGACTTCCGGCAACACAACGAGGACTATACCATCCAGCCCTGGTACAACTGGGCCAAAGCACAGAACGGTGTTGTTCTGAATGAAGATTTGCCACAATACAAAGTTGCGGGCGCGGGAGGCTTCTACTTATTTGTGACCCGAAACCGACCTCTCTTTTATTTTGCCCCGCAAAAATGGGGAGTCAGAGGGTTCGCCACCAAGACATACTATGTGAAATGGATTCAGGATGGTAAGGCTGTGGCATTTGCAAATCCCAATGGGGGTCCTATAGTTGAAATCCTGAAATACGTACCTTTCAAGAAGAAAGTGCAGACTTTCATCTATGAGCATGCCGAGCTTATCGAGATAGCGACGGCCTTGTGTGCAAAGTTCGATTTCCACCGCTTGCCGTTAACCTACTGGACATCGCCCTGATCTGGGTGATAGAACTTCACGTCGGTGATAGCTGGCGGAGAGACCCCTGCCGGTTCGACTTATGGGTTACGCCTGCAAAGTCATGATATATCCGGCTAAGTCCGGCATGAAACTACAATTCTGCAGGCCTGTCCCAGAAGGCTCTGCGCAGCGGTCGGCCGTGTTTTGGAGGCGTCCGCATCTCTGACGGCACCTTAGTCGCCTTTGTCAGGGATGTTGTGGAAGGTTCCATGTACAGAGCCCGTACAGAGCTATTGTAAAGACCTGCGCCTTCAGACTCTAACAGTTAACGGCTGTGTTTCCCTATGCCAGCAAAGTCTGAGCGATTGTGTCACCGCCAGATGACCCCTCACGGTGGAGATGGTGACAGGCAGTGCATGAACAAGAGTCCTTCTTCTGTGGCCTACCATGTGCGCGCTTGTTTCAAAGGACTGTCTTCCTGTGTCGTTCTGTTGTACTCTGCAAGACTCAGGGATCACAAAACAACCATTATTCGAATTACCCCCGCTGTAGCAGAATGGCACCGGAACTCCAGAACTTACTTGGGCAGAGGACTTAGTAAGTAGGTTATAAGTAGGGTTATAGTTGGGGTAACTCCATCTAGGGTACTTATAACCCTACTTATAATCTACTTATACTAAGCCCCCTGCCCCTCCAAGTAGCAGCCTAAAAGGCTGAAGCCGGACACCCTTAAAACCTGAAACCAAAACCCGACCGGCTCCCAACAGCTCGAAGCAGAGCAAGCTGCTCCGAATTTCTTGAAGTAGGGCAAACCGTCGAAGCATCACCTGGGTTCTGGAGCACCATACCCCAAGGGTCCAAAGGACCCAATAATCAGGTACTTGGGTTTAGGATAGTAGTTATGTAGGTTAATATTTGGGAGAGTACATGATTATTGGGTACTTGGACCCTTTGGGATACTTTGGTACCTTTGTTTCGTTGAGCTGTTCATTAAAAGAACCATTATGAAGCAAAGGGTTTCTACTTTTTCTCCTTGGTCACTTCAAAGACCAACCACAGATCTTGTCCTGGGCTTTCGGCCCTCGGAACTTCAGTTTTGGACTTCAGACTCATAATTAAAGGCTCTGGGAACGGGGGATGAACACGGCTGTAGGACGGAGTGTTTACAGTATTTGGGTTTAGCAGTCCTTGTTGGAGGTTCTAGGATCCTGGCGAGCAAGAGCCAGAACATGCAGCCTGGAATGATCAGATTGAACGTGGAGTTGTGGGGCTTCGAAACGCTGCGGGGTAGCCAGAACTGTTTTTGTTCTGGAGCCCCGCATACCCTCTGCTACATACATAAGCGACCCGTTTAGACGTGGCTGAATCATCGCAGCTGTCCATTCGCCGAATATTGGCCCAGCACAGCTGCTAAGAGATGCTATGTGAGTAGGTTGCAGCCTTAACTGCGATGACCCTGAGCCCTGAATGCTAATGAAACTCTTAACCCCAAAGTCTATAAGCTTTCTAGGCCCTGGGCTCAAGATACCCAAAACCCCCAACCAAGGATCTGCAGGGAGAGCGGGCTTGTCACACCTTCGCGGAGCCACCGGCGAAAAGAGCCAGATTTCGGGGTTGGCGGAAGATGGCCGGGGCAGTTCTCCTTCCTTGGCCTCCCAGTAGTACCATTTTGCCCTTTGGGTTTGGGGAGCCTTCTTGCTTAAACCGAGTAGCAGGAACAACGACACGTTTTGTGTTAGGAGACCACTGGCTCTTAGCTTCCCCCCCGAAAGGGTATACCATATACCCTCAACCACCATGTGCATGCAAGAGATGCTAAAACCCTAGTCCCAACATCCTTAATCGCAGTCAGGCGTTAACCTATTCGAGTCGTGGGTTCCCGAGCTTTAGAGCACAGAGAGCTGGCAACTTGGCACGGAGTTCCGATGTCATAAACGCTAAGCCATGAAACGCACTACTGTAGCCAAGGGCCCTTAACTTGAAGTCTGCTGTTTCGCCGGGAAATTTGTAAAAGAGAGAAGGGGCAAGGCTCCGGTTGCATTGTGTTTCCTCGTTTTTTCGTATTGACTTCAACAGAAGTTTGCTACATGGGTAAATGAGACCAAGCATGCAAGGCAACCCTGATTATTACCACAAGTAGCACCTACATGTGGACCTCTGGCATCTTTTTATGCAAGGAAGCGCGAGCAGCTTCGTTGGTTCCCCAGACTACATAAACCCGAAGCCTTAACCCATCTAAACCCAACTCCTACACTCATAACTCTGTTGCTGTGGCTGCTGCTATGCTTATTGTTATTACTGCTCTTGTGACTATTGTTTGTATTTGGATTTTGTTGTCATTGCCATGATGATGGCTATGAAGACTATTCTGATCACTATTGCGATCATCGTTATTACTATGCAAATTAGTCATGGTATTCTTTCCCTTTCTCCGTTGTACTGAAGCAGCAACAGTACTGTTAATGGTATTACTACTGCGAATACCGACTAATATTGGTATTCGTGTTATTGCTATTATGCTCATTTTTCTCATCATGACTATTACGAACAATATGGGTGGTATGATGACTACTCCTGTACTGCTGTTTCTGTGTTTGCATTCATAGTGTCATTATTTTTGTCATTTTGATAATGATGAATGGTGATTCTTCAATACCATTAGAATCATATAGTAGTTTTTCGTTATCAAGGCTTCCATTATGCCTGTAGTCTCCATTGTAGTTCCCTTCTTTTGTTAAACAGTTTTATGGGTAGGATCCTCTAATATGGATTTGGTTCCCCAAAACAAGGAACTACAAAGGAGACTACAGGTAGCTGTGATTGCAACTTTGCCAGGTCTCGGCTCGAAATTTCTCAGGGCGTAGCATGGGAACTTCCCGGTGAGCCCTGATGGTATCCACGCTCGAGGGCAGATGGCTTCTGGAAGATGAGAACGGGGACACGACCATCGCCTTGATCTCGGAAAATGGGGAGGTCAAGTTCATGGAAGATCCCGAGGTGGGTGTCAGTGCTGAGGGTTCTAACATTTTGGCCGCTGTGAAATACTGTATTGCGGTGTGCAAACTCTATGCGATGTTGAGGAGAGTGGTGCAGCACCTTAGCATGCTTGGCACTGACTGTGCAATAGCATCAATCATATCGCCAGGACGCTGGCCTATAATGCCGCAGGCTCTTGTTGTAATGGCCTTGCATCACAACAGGCTAGCAACATCGCAGACTAGGATAAGACCGGCTCGGGGGTCCTTCTTCTTAACATGATCACGACAATTACTAAAGCATTGCTATTATTTTTGATTATTATCATGATGATTATTACTTAAGTACTATTGTGATTAGTATGGTTATGATTCTTCTTCTATATGAAGATTGTGATTATTAATTCAATTGTGTAGGATTGTACTGGGATAGGGTTGCGGACAGAGAGCTTCGTCTCAAGCGCCAGGCGGAGATGCGAATTGCTGAACCCAACCCCGGGACGCCGGAGTGCCTTGGCATAAGTGTTGTACCGGTCCATTCGGGCTTTTTTTTAAGGTTCCTAGAACCCAAAGGGTCCAAGTACCAATATCGTAGCTGCTGAATAGGTATCTGGGCACCAAAAGTTTATCCTAGACTACTACTTGGACCCTTTGGGAATCGGTGCCACAGAAACCATGCGGCCTCAAAGCCCGGTGCCACGAAGCATTGCTCAGCCAGGAGCGTTCACTACAAGGTCATTTGTAAATGCAGTCTAGCAAACATGGCACGTTTAGCCAGCGCAATGCGCTGCTTGCATTCGTCGTCTCACCGAAGCGTTTGGCCCTTTGGTGACCCTACATTCCAAACTCTAGATATCCACGAAAGCCCAGATTCCTCCTGCTCTCCAGCGACGGTGAGGAGCTATGCCAGGCAGGAGTTTTCCAATGTTTGCAAACATAGTCTTGTTACTTGTTGTCTGTGCATATGCCTTCTCGGAAATGAAGTAACCAGAAATAGGTCCTACAGGGGTCTAAGCAAACGCTGCCGAATCCGATGTTGTTTTTCCCGAGCCGAGCCCCGTCGCAAACCAAGCTGGTTGAGGGGGCTTCCGAATGCTCGCCGGGCTCTACCTCGCCTAGTGTAGGGGCCTTCAAAGGGCTCTATATGAGGGTTACTATAAGGGATCTATAAGGGCACTACAATATAGCTAGGGTTTTAGGGCCCGTTATACTATAACTATAGCTATAATAGGGAACCCCCAAAATAGTATTGGTACCAGTAATTATCTAGGCCCCTCTGGTACAGAGCCCCAAACCTTCAGACCCCTTGTTGTTTGAAGCAGGTTAAACTGGTCGAAGCAGAGTCTGGCCCAACGTTGCTGCCCAGCTGGAAGAATTGAGGAGTGTGTGTGTGTGTGAGAGAGTTTTGTTGAGAGGGGTGTAAGGGGCTGGGGGGAGGGGGGGAGGGATCAGCCCTTTGGGAGCGTAATGTGTTTTGGGTTTATGATCTAAGGGAATCTTGGGCTGAGGGCTTTGGATTTAGGCCGTAGGGAGTATGGTTTCTGGGTTCAGCATGCGTGATCTACAATCAAAGTTTTATGTCAAGCCTCACGAGCGTGATTGCTGTGCAAAGGCAGTGCTCAGAGACATAAATAGGATGACGACAGGAGGAAGAAGAAGTAGCAATAGTCGTCGTCGTGAGCGAGCCGTCGTTTTAGTCGCAAGGTCTAAGAACACTAAGCAGACAATGTCTATTGTTTGGTGTGTAGTATTGTTACTATTGTTCCTGTGTGTTGACTTCGATGTGTTGCATGCTCATGCTGTTCTGACTAACAGCCATGATGACCAACCAGAAGAAAACGCAGCAACTAGCAGACCGTCCATACATAAGTGGCTACAGCAGTTCGCACATCAATATATATATATATATATATAGATATTTACATGTATGTGTATAGCTACATGTAAACATAATACATACATTTATGTATGCACACTTACACAAGGGATACCTGTATACATATACACACGTCACATATATGTGTATATATATATATATATATATATATATACATGTATGTATATGTGTGTGTGCGGTCATTTATGCATGTACAACTATCTACATATATATATATATATACACACACACACACACATCCTATGTATGCTTATATACATGCGCAAAGGCGGGGACTTGGTCTTGAAACCGACCCTAAACCCGTAAGCCCGAAACCCGAAATCCTACAACCTAAGCTCAAACTCGAAAACCCTAAACCTTGTAATCCCCAGAGCCCTAGACCCTAAAATTCGAATGCCCTAGAGCCCAGCCTATAAACCCAACGCCCCAAAAGCTAAAGCCCTAAAGCCTATAACCCTAAAGCCCTAAATGCTCAAACCCCTAAACGCTAAAAATCCGAAACCCTACAATCCCTAAACATCAATCTAAATTCTAAAGCCCGAAACCCTATAGTCCCTAAACCCCTAAACTCTAAAACCGAAAAGCCCTAAACCCCAAACCCTATTATCATCATCCCTAAACCCCTAAACTCTAAAACCTTAAAGCCATGACCCCATGAAGCTCCCAAGCCGAGGCAGCTACAGGGCCAGGACGGGCACACCGAGACCTGGAGGAAGATCCGCCAGGATGCCCCGAAGCTCGGAAGGAACTCGGGATATTACGGTTTATGGGGTTGAAGGGTTCTTACAAAGGGTCTTTAAGGGCTACTATAAGGAAGCTCGGAAGAATATCCTGATATTCATATAGATATAGGGCCTTATAATAGTTGCCCTATTATAGTAATAATATTATAGTAATAACAGGGTTCCCTATAAAGGTGTCTATGCCCCGAAGCTCGGGAAAAACTCGGGAGATCATGGTTTATGGGGTGTGGGGTGTATAATGGGGTTCCTTTAAAGGGTTCTTACAAAGGGTCTTTAAGGGCTACTACAAGAAAGCTAGGAACAAAAAGAACCAGAATATTCATGTAGATATAGAGGCCTTGTAATAATTACCTCATTATAGTAATAACAGGGTTTCCTTTAAAGGTCTATATAAGGGCTACTATAAGGGATGATTACTATAACGCTACTAGAATATAGGGGCCCAAATAATTACCAAGACCATTTTGAGGCTCCTTACTATAGTATAGTATACCCCGTATACTAATTATTAAGGCCCCTGTATTACGGCTTATGGAGTTTAGGGTTCAGGGTTTAAGATTTAGAGTCTGAGGTTCAGGGTTCAGGGTTTAGGGTGTATTTGGGACTTTCGGAGAATGTTTGGGGATGCCACGGTCATGCTTAGGAGCCTATTGGTGGTGGATGCGGGTGATCTGAGGGTCTGTAGGGCCATAGAGTACGGTCATGAGAGTATATTCGACATTCGAGGTAGATTAGGGTTAGGTTAGGGTCTACCAGGGCCACATGAGGACTGTTAGGAATATCAGGAGGGCTTCTTTGTTCTAGGACCTAGGATCCAGAGGGCATTTTAGGCTTCTGAGAGTACCTGTCAGGGCCTGGAGTTTAACGTGCGACTTGTTGGCGATTTTGCGGTCGAATTAGCGGTTGAATTGCACGAATTAGGTGATGACGTGCCGCAGGAAGGAGCTGTGCGATTGTGTTTCCAGCTGTCGATCTTGCAAGGGGGTCGGTCCCACACTGTACTTTGCAGAGACATGTGTTACCTGGTGTCACGACCTAGATGAGATTCGTCAACCCCGCTGAACCCGATCGCTAAATCCCTACCTCACCCTACCAAAATCCCAAAAGCTCCACAGCATCCCAAAGCCCTGTTGCGCCTTCTTTGGTGCTCTGAAAACGTACAGGAATCTTCCAGCTACTCTCCTGCACCTATCTGCAGCATTACAAGTATTCCGGCTCAAGTTTTCAACCCCGAATCACCCTCAGCATTCCTAACCCCTCAAATTCCTTCCTAACTTGCTTCATTGCGTTGCCCAGGAAGACCGTCTCCAGGAAAAAGGGTGCGCTGCCGCGCATTTTCACGAAGGACTGGGGACGGAAGCAGGAGAGTATGAAGCGGTATACGGTTTAGCTAGCAGCTGACTATTCCTTGGGAATCGTGTTTATAATGCTGCTGCTATTGTAACTGTGGGTCTAACAGCTTACAGTTCGGGTTTAGGGCTTGGTGTCGGATCCTTGTCGGACACTGCGGTCTGCCTAGACTCGGTCCTAGACGCCACCGGCTGACTTCCGTGGATCTGTCCACGTAGTGATCCGAACAGACTCGAAGGTGCCGTTCTTAGGGTATGGCAGTACGGGACAAAGCTTGTGCTTCAGTGCTTCGAGCAAATGTGAGATGTTCTAGTTCCGATTATATGACACTAGAATCTGAGCTGTTGCTGGGGCTTGAGTCAGTAGGTTGATTGAATGCCTAGGCCACACCTATGCTGCCTGCGCACACGAACCCTCTTTCCCGAATACTGCGACTCTTGAACACGTAACCTCAAATCCTCGCAGCCCTGAACCCCGGGGTTGAGGGTTTAGGGCCCTGAGCCGGGGTGGGCCTCCCTGAAATTCTTGAGAATCAGGTTTCACAGCAACCCAGACCCAACTTTCCCCCGTATGACAAAAAGGGCAACCCTGTTAACCCTATAAGCCCTATAAACCCTCTAAACCCTATAAAAACTCAGAAACCCCTATAAGCCCTATAAACCCTAAACCCAACTTCCCCCCCCGCCTGTGTGAGGAAGGGCAACAGGGTTCCGCGGCGCCGCCTGCCCCCGAGAACGAGACGGCGGAAGGAGCGCAAGGCAAGTCCGGGCCTCTAAAAACCTAGAAGTACTACCTTAGGGTACTTAGAAGAAATAATTTGTAATTTCTGGTTATGATAACCCCTAAGAAACAGCTAAAATCATAATTTTGGCTAGGGTTCTAAGTTCAGTATAGGTACTGTCAATCTAAGGTCCTTTAAGGGCTCCTATAAGCGTTCCTATATACTTAAAGGATCACAGTAAGGTAACTAAAGTTGTGATCCGTTTAATTACTTATAACCCCAAATAAGGTACCTATAACCCTTACTTACTAGGTATCATGATCCTCCAAGTACCGGTCCTCCCAAAGGGTCCTGTAGGGTTTTTTGGAAGGTTCCTGGAGCCCAAAGGGTCCGAGTACCAATATAGTAGCTACTTAAATAGGTATTGGGGCCCCAACAGTTTATCCTATACTACTACTTGGACCCCTTGTTTAATCGCAAACCCCATACGTTCTACAGAGCCCGGAAGATTTGCACACTAAATCTGACACTGCACCCTAAACCCGAAACCTTGAACCCTAAATCGTAGGGCTTCAGGGCTTCAGAGGCAGCCTGCAAAGCTGAAAGTCCTAGTTGCAGCTCTCCTGGGTGAGACCGCTTAATGTGGGAGTTTCCGAAAATTAAGGGCTCCTTATTCTGGGGTCCTTGTAATAAGGATCCTACTATCTAGGGTGCTATATTCGGGTCCCCTATTTTCGGAAACCCCCATGTAGGAACCTGATTAAGAAACCCTGGGTCCTTTGTTGGGGTTCCTTTAAAGGGGTCTGGAAGGGATCTATATAAGGGTACTATAGTAATGTAGGAACCTGATCAAGAAACCTTGGCCCTTTTTTTATGGTTTCATATACAAAACCTCCTATGTTAGGGGTTATAGGGCCAGGGTTTCTTGATCAGGTTCCTGCATTATGTAGTAGAAAAGGCCCAAGTCTCGAAAATGAAATCCCCGTGAATGTCATGAAGACCCGTTCGCTCAAGGATGAAGCTCTAAAGTAAGTCGATGCAGGCTACATCCCGACCACAGGCCCGTATACTATAAAGCTTCAGAGCGTGTCCCCTACTGCTAAGAGGCTTCGGCCTGAAGCCTAGACCCGTAAAGCCTGAAGATAAGCGTCTAAACGTGAAAGCGAAGGCCAAAGCATGGACTCTATACCCGGTCTCGGGTATGCCGGCTTAGAACGTTCTTGATGTGTTGGGTTTTCACGGTTGATGTGAAATTACATGTGGGATTGTGAGTGCCATGATGGCCCCCATGGCAGTTTCTCGTGCGATCAGCTGCCTTCCCAGGGAAGCTGTGTATCTACACTGCTGAGCGAAATATATTCACATACCGTGTTCGGCAACTGCCACATGCGATGCTGAGAAGATAGCAAGTAGGATATACGTTTGGGGCCAAATGTCTACTGAGTAGCTACTATATAGGTGGCTGGCAAAATGTTGGTCCCTTTTCGGATCCCTAATATCATACGGCACCGAATATTTAGGGTACCCAAAAAGGGGCCCTAATTTTGACAACTACCCATATTGGCACTTGGATCTACGAAGTGTGGAATCAAGCTGCAGTCTCCCCCTCTACTCCGCTAAACCCTGGACCTGAAACTCCGAATCCTTAACCAAAGCAAAGGAGGGGAAATCTGGTGCCTAAAACTCAAAGCCAGAATATGCATCTAAAGCTCTTGAACCTTAAATTAAACCCTATAGACCATAACCGTAAATGCTAAACCACATAAACCCCAAGACCTTAAACCCTCTACCCATATCCGCTAAAGCCCCTAAGATACCAAAGCCCATAATATCGCTCCGGGAGGCTAGACCAAGCCGCTTTTCCAGCCGGGAGGTTGGGACCGGTGGAGGCCGCCTCTGCCCAAGGTCTTTCGATGGCTTTCGGGTTTCCGGTGTAGCGAGGGTTCAGGCGTAGGATTGAGGAATCAAGGTGGGTTTCGGGGCAGCGTCCTATCTTCCTGTCAATTTCACAGCAAGTTTGCATCCTTCATGTCGCATGGCCGTCGGCTCAGCCACCACGTAACCTTGTTGGGTTTACGGTTTAGAGTTTTAGTGGATGCCAGTGTTGCATCGGACTGTGCTTTTTGTCTCGTTCCGTGTCTGGTGTGTGAGTTGACTTCCGAGGTACTGTGTTGGACCTGCTTGTTGACACACTCCCGGCACCTGTACTCTCTTGCACACGGGCTCGGGTGAACCATAAGTATTTTGTAGGTACATTCAAGTTGAAACCTTGTGTGTTTTTTCATCGAGGTGCATCTTTGCGCCTTTTTTGCACAGGCGAGCGGCATGTAGTGCTGTACTTGTCATGCTGAATGAAGTGTTTGTCCTCCGCGAAGGCTGGCATTTGTGAGAGCAACGGCTTGGACAGAGGAGTAGCTTCAAGTGACATCATCTGCAAGCAAAATCCGTTGGCTCAGCTAGAGGAGTGCCTACCAGGTCAGTCAACATCGTGTAAGCTAAGCATGCGTGCTACATACCACCCGACGGCCCGACGGCATACGTCTGTGCTGACTGAGCTTCTCCCATTCATGAAACTGATTGTGGTTGCCAGGGTCCTATACGGCCGAATCTCTAACCTTTGATGACTTAACATGCTGGGATGTAAGAGCGCATGTAACTACTAGAGCCTTCGGTGTCTCTCCCACTCCCGTCGCAGATCAGATACCGAATGGACATGCCAAACGGTTGCTGAGAGCAGATCACTTGACAATGGTATCGTCTCCCTAGGTGCGCACTGGCCCTGCCATATTGCGCCTGTTTCACTGATCAGTTGGATGCCAGCTTGTGCGGAACCACTCAGCGTGAGTTGATAGCACGATTTGCAGCTCTATGTGCAAGCCTTTGATTTCGTTGTTCGTGCTTCTTAACGATTTACTCTCGAACTCATTATTGCGTCAACTGCTACGACGGCGGCGAGTGCGACAATGACGACTACTGCTGCTCTGCTGCCACGGCTGGTGCTAGCGCTAGTAGTCACCGGTTGGCTTCTGGCTCGGGCTGCTACTGCTGCTCGTAGTAATAGTAGCAGCAGCAGCAGCAGCAGCAGCAGCAGGAGTAGTAGTAGTAGCAGTAGTAGTAGTAGTAGTAGTAGTGGTGGTAGTAGTAGTAGTAGGAGTAGTAGTGGTAGTGGTAGTGGCAGTGGCAGTAGCAGTAGTAGTAGTAGTAGCAGTAGTAGTAGTAGTAGTAGTAGTAGTAGAAGTAGTAGTAGTAGTAGTAGTAGTAGTAGTAGTAGTAGTAGTAGTGGTGGTAGTAGTAGTAGTAGTACTACGACTACTACCACGACTACAACTAGTAGTAGTAGTAGTACTACTACTACTACTACAACTACTACTACTACCACTACCACTACCACTACCACTACCACTACCACTACCACTACCACTACCACTACCACCACCACTACCACTACTACTACTACTACTACTACTACTACTACTACTACTACTACTACTACTACTACTACTACCAGGATCACGACGACCACCGCTACTACTGCTGCTACTACTACAACTACTACTACTGCCGCTACTTCAACTACTACCACTACCACTACCACTACCACTACCTACTACTAGCCTACCCATGGTTTCCTTTGCTATGCGTCAGTATCCTACCAAAGTAGAGGCCGGAACTCAGCATAAGGATGCACATCCTGATGGTTGGAAGGGGCTTTTTCCATCGCCCTGCCACCAATCTGGGGAGCATAAACTGGCTGATGATATTTCGCTTGACAGACTCGTGTGGTGCGGCTACATGATAAGAAAGAGACCTGATCAGCGAAAGCAGGCGGTTTAGTCAGTCAGGCTTTGTTAACGTCATTGAGGTGTCTTCAGGAGAGTATCTCTCAGGATGAAGTGGTCTATATAGATGTCAGTGGCCAAATTGTCGCCTCTAGCAGCATTGGGCGGCTTAGCTTTACAGTGGGTCAAGGAGACACTTTGCTCTTCTGAAGGATCCATTCGTCAGATAAGAATAGTAATAGTAGTAATATTGTAACAATAGTAATAATCGTAATTATAGTAATAATAATGACAGTAATAGACTGCAGTGCTGGTTTCGCGACAGTCGACGGAAGCTGCCTTGGCTCATCACGGCGCCCCGGTGCGGCCGTCATCAACGAGGGCCCTAGGCCCTATACATAGATTCCGTACAGCCGAAAGAAGGTAGCAGGCATAGACTTTAGGGTCTAAAGTCTAGACTCAAGACCATATTGACTGTATGTGTTGTGTGCACTCATGAAGTCTAAGGGACATTGCAGTCATCATCGGGGGTTTACAGGCTGCCTGCCCCAAGATTCGCTGCTAGGTGGTTTTGTAGCTGGGCTTTGCATCCACTTTTCTGGAGTCACGTGCCGACTGAAGGGGTCCAATTTTGGGTGAGTGAAAAGGTTGTAATTACGGTGTGTGTAGTGAACTGCATTCAACAGCTGTTCTCGGAGATGATAAGCGGACGGTCCGGTGTCACCTGTGAACCTCGAAGTAGAAGAGTTTTGGATTGCAGCTGCCTGGACGGCACGAGGCCACAGCGTCCCAAGAAGAGTCCGGGATCTCCACATCGCTTTGACCTGCTTGCAGCTTTTTCCCAGTACCGAGCAGGATTTCCTGCAGCGTCTGCAAAGCGACTTTAGTACAAGCTTTCGGCCAGTTGAACTCAGCCCGAGGCCCCAGACCTTGAACCCAAGCTTCTCAAACTCTTCAGTGTAGAGCCCGCGCTCGACCGCCTGAAAAAGCTTGAGTCCTTCAACTCGAAACCCCCAAAAACCCTAGCAAGACGGCCGGAAGAAGTGTCTAGGGTTTAGGGGTAAGTGTAAGTCTGCAGTCCTGTAGTCACCTGATGCGACGCCGCAAACAGACCCCTTCCCCCTCAGCGTTCCACCCCCGACCTTGGCAAACCCTAGATATTCGCAGCGCCATGGGGCCTGCAGCCGGCTTGACATGCCGAAGGTTTCGGATTCAAGAGCGCGAAGTCAGCCCATTCAGGGACTGTAGGGCTTTGGGATTGTAGGGTGGAGGGAAT